GGAGGTATCGATTTCAGCATATTTGCCTCAGAATTTGTGTTAACTTTTTCTAGACTTCATAGAAAGGTAGAGACATGGAGAAGGACAATTTAGCAATTTTATAGTTTGTTGTATGGAGAGCTTTGCCAAGTCATAGGGACTACTTGAGGAGAAGCAAGGAAGACAACAGTCTCAAAATATCACAAAGGGCCCAATGTCATGGACAATGTAAATGTGATGGTTGATATTTTTACACTTGAATAAGAAATGATAGATGAGAGTTAGACTATAAAGGCCATGAAATTAAGGACAAACCAATAGATATCTGAGAGTTTAAGAAGTGATGCCAAGGAAGGGGCAAAGATTTAGACTTATCCTTGACATGACAACTTAGAAACAAAGAAAGGATGATCAGAGCTAATGTTGAAATTGCAGCCAGCTTCAATTTATTTTACACACTGGAGCAAAGAAAATTGTCTTTCACTTACTATTGGCTGTGACTTATCTGAGGAAATTATGTTGAAGGGGCAGAGAGGAACTGCGTATTTGCTACTGTTTGTTTATTTTAGATTTGTTCTTGACAGTATTGCGTGCCAGGAGAGGGAGTGGTCCACTTTGTACCTGCTTTTTGGAGATGGAGATTTTGTTCTCAGGTGTTTTTAAAGACCATAAAAGCTCTATAGCCCAGTACTCCAATAAGAGTCCCCTCTGTTTTGGCAACAGTGTTATGTAATTCCAGAAATATACAACAGTGTTTTCCCGTAAAAAGCCAGAAAGACACGCAATCCAAAATAAAATTCCGTTCTGCTATCTTGGAGGTGCATGGAGGACATCTTCAAATAACAATGGTAAAAATAGTAAATCCTAGTTTTGCTATTATTTTTTGCTTTCAATCCCTATTAGTAAAACAAAAAACAAAAAACACCCAACAAACAAACAAACAAACAAGAAAAAAACAGAAAGAGAAGTCAGATCTTAAAAAAGTAAACCAACCAATCAATTAAAAAAAAAAAAAAGCAAAAAAATCACTGTCTGTCTTGAATAAAGTGAAATGTAGTGTTCTTAAAGGGTAATTGTAAATCAGAGTTTCTAAGTGTAATTTTACTGAAATGTTCTTTTTGACCTGATTTGATAGCCTTATTTTGTTCTCATTACAGGCTATTCTTTACAGAAGTGTAGAACTGTAGGTGATCAAGATGGGTTTGTCAAGAATAGACTACTTATTCTTTTTTTTTTTTTTTTTTGCCTTTCAATGAAATCAACTAAAAAAGCCAAAAAATGCCCCCAAGTGTGCAATCTCATTTTGTTAAAAATATATTTGTTTATATAGAATAAGAAAGAAATTACCAAATTCTGCAAAGATGCTTCCAAATAATAATAGAAATCAATATTTAGTGTTATAAAATACCAAGTTTCCCTATGCTGCAATTTGCAAATCATCAGCGGTTCAGAAACAATTTGCATAAAAACACATCTAGCTTCATATAATTACAGTGTGCATTGGAGCTATGGGAAATACAGAACATTAAACTTTCACAAATGCTGCAAAAGACAAAAAAAAAAAAAAAGGCAATTTACATCATGGGTTTTTTTTTTTTTCTTCTCAAAAGTATCTTCTTTACACATGAATCCTTGAGCTTCTGTATGTTCCTAAAATCAACATTTGGCACTCAGTTTCGTAGAGCATTTCTATGTGTTGATAGATTTGTATTGTCTTGGAGTTTTGTACCATACCTGCTTGTTTAATTGAGGGTTTATACAGTGTGGTGCCCTTTTTCTCAGAGGCTTTTGCTTTCAGCAAGCAGCCTTCTGAAGGAAAAGTTTCCCGCCTGATATTGGTAGCATTGCATGATGTGCAGACAAACAGAAAGTATAAAAGCAAAAATGGTAACAAGATAGGGCTTCAACGCCATCATGTTTTTAAGCTTTTCCTTTGAAATATTTTTTTTCCCAGCAGTGTAAGATGAAGGTAGGAAGGACCTCAGGAGTCTCCTATGGAATTCAATAGTGAGCAGTGCAGCTAGATAAGCTAGATAGGGTTTAGGTCATGTTCATCCTTAATTCTGCCCTGGAACAACCATGAGCTGTTGGCCGATCTGGGTTCTTCTGTTTATCAGGCATCCCTAATTTTTTTCTGTTTGTTTGTTTTAATTATTATTCCATGAGGAATAACTGAAATTGACATCTGCTTATAAACATCTGCTTATAACAAACAAACAAAAAACCACAACCAAACAACTGGGGATAAATACAATATATATGCAAGAAAAAAAAAAAAAAGCAACAAATTATGTTCACCTTTGCAAGAATAGTGCTCTGTATAAAACAACAGTATTTGGCTATTTCTTTATGATAAATACAGAAAATTAACCATGGTGCACAGACTGGCTTTTTCTGAACACAGGACTCTTGTTTCTCTACTTTGCTTCTCTTTCATGCACACCCTGTGCTGAGACAGATGATGTACAACCTCAGCTCTGTTTGGCAGCCAGTAGCTGGCACTTTGGTGTGTGTGTGCATGTCGTGTTAGCATATGTGCGTGTGTCTGCCTGACCTTGGTGCAGTCAGGACAGCAGAGCAGCTATTCTGATTAAACTGCAGCTGACAGTCTGTAATCTGATGATGGTTATCAATGCAGAAATTATCCATTCCACCAGATCAGCAGCTGTGCAACTTCCAGCTCAGCTTTCTCAGTTTCTGAATACAAGGAAGTAACAGAAGCAGTCTGATGTAGTAGTTGGTAAATTCAGCTTTCAAAACTAACTAAAGGTAAACTCATCACAGAAAACATTCCTACCCTTTGCCTTTTTCTTTCTTTAATTGTAAATGGAGTATCAGTTTCTGACAAATCACTTTAATTTCCTATGGGGAATATTATTGATTAGCAGTCATTAGATGTAGAGGTAAAATACACTCATGTCTCATTCAAAAATATTAATTTTTTCCTTTAATTCTGCAAATTTCTCCACAGCTATGCCCATTACTCACAGTTAGATAATAGGCTGGTGACAGGCCTTGCATAATGGACTGTTGTGCATCCATAGTATGGTACAGCCATCACAGTCCTGGTGGGATGCTTCACCGTTGCGCTGTAATGAAGAATCACGCACTCAATATTTGTTACCCACCTGGCCGTTGCCAGGAGAATGGTCATGAGGCTGGAAATCCTATTAGCAGCTGTCTGTTGCTTTTTATTTTAATGATTTCCTGCAAATATAATGTGAAGATCACGTCAGGAAGCTAATAAATTATTTTATTCTGTGCAGTACATGCTCTTGCAGTAAAATAGTCTAGAAAGCTTCAAGTTCATTGGCACAGCATGTTCATCCCACATGTCAGTAAATCCCCAGGAGTCAGCAAGATGCATCCCAGGGAGAGACAGCAGATTGGGAATAAGTAAAAGGAGCAGAGGGAGTGCAAGGCTCTGCTGCTTCACAAGTGAGTAGCAAGGCTTTCTCCGTGCCTGGGTGTTGTGCAGTGGTAGATGTGAGGTGGGTTTGGTCTATATAGCTCTGAAACTAATTTTCTTTTCTCCAAAAAGGTGTGTGAATGTTGTTGCAAACCACTTACCAGCTAGTGGGAAAAGAGCACAAACTGGAATTTATGAACCAAACATTTCTGCCATGTCTTTATATCTAAGAGTGGGTTTAGGTCATGTTCATCCTTAATTCTGCCCTGGAACAACCATGTGCTGCTGGCTGATCTGGGTTCTTCTGTTTATCAGGCATCCCTAATTTTTTTTTGTTTGTTTGTTTTAATTATTATTCCATGAGGAATAACTGAAATTGAAATTCTATATTTTGTGTGGGAGCAGAAGAATGACTGTTATCTCAATCCATACTAATGTGTTAAGAAAAAAAGCAAACAAACAAGTGTAAAGGTGTCTGTTCAGTCATGAGAGAACTTGTATCTGTCTCAGAAATTCCACTGTTCTTACATATATAATTATATCCCAAAATATTTAGTTGTATGAGGATAATCACCTGCTCAGCAAGCAGATTGCCTATTCTGTTCCGTGTGAATATGCTGAAAATAAGTAGGTAGAAGTTGTAAATGAATGTGTGTTACCGTGGGTAAAGACATCCTGTGATGAGCTGTATGCCAGAGGGGTGTATGGTGTTGTGTATGTAGTCCGGAGCAGAAAATAAATATCATCAAGACGATAAATGGAGAAACCACAGTGACAATAAGGTGGGTAGTCATTCTGTCAATTTGACAGTATTGCTGGACACTTTTAATGCGTATAATATTTTCTGTTGCTCTGCATTTTGCTGTGTGTAGGTGTTCACAATATCTCCATTAAGCATACAGATTCTTGTGATCTTTACCGGGAAAAAAATCTTTAAAGGTTCTAATCCCTTTTCATCTGTGTAGCCTAAGTGAACAGCTCCTGAAGCAGAACAATTCCTCCCCTGAGGATGTGTCTCGAATTACTTTGCCGTACTCCAGGAAAGCGTGCCTGTTCTCTGCCTGTCTTTTTTGCCCCAGGAGAAGATTGAGAGAACAATGGTTGTCAGTCACTGAGGGGAGCCTAGACTTTCAGTTGCTGCAACTGACGCTTTTCTGTTGCAGCGCTGTTATTGATAGAACACAAAAATAAAACCAGGTCATTTGACCATATAATTAGCTCATTCCTGTTGAACTCTAAATGACCTTAACCTTCCTCCTCTTTACAGAATCCCCATGTTTCTCATTAAAAAAAAATTCTTCCTAAACAGTGGGTTTTTTCTTCTGATTCCGAGATACCCCTAGTGGTTACTTATGGAGTTCTAAAGGGCTCCATTGGCACACACAAGAAAAGATGCACTTGAGTGATCATGAAGACACACTGGATAACCAAATCTGTTACATCCAGATAATGTTTTACCACCAAAAATATGAAGGAGCTGAAGATGGGCCCAATAACAACTTTGGCGTATAACGTTTTCTTTCTTTTTTCTTACTGTTGACTCATAGTTTCATCAGTGCTCTAACATGAGCTATTGTGAAAGTGGTTTACATTTTTCCTTCTGCCCTTCCAGCTTGTGACAGTGACCACTGGGGACCTCACTGCAGCAGCCGCTGTCAGTGCAAAAACGGAGCCTTGTGCAACCCCATCACTGGAGCCTGCCACTGTGCGTCCGGTTTCAAAGGCTGGCGCTGCGAGGAGCGCTGTGACCAAGGGACGTATGGAAATGACTGCCATCAGAAATGTCAGTGCCAGAATGGAGCCACCTGTGACCATGTGACTGGAGAGTGCAGGTGTCCTCCTGGATACACTGGAGCCTTGTAAGTACAGGGCATGTTCTATAGAGGGAGGAAATGCAGAGTATGAAGCGTGCTAACAGGGGAAATCAAGTTTGGAGTAACTTCTGTTAGTTACAGAAGGTAACTTCTGTTACATTCTAGGTCTGTTCCCTTAGGTGTGTTGCACAGACACTATACAACCTTCAGTTTGCTTCTGTTGTGAACTGCTTTCTGTTGCCTATTTTTGAACACAAACAAATGATAGCATTAGCAATACAGAGGTAGCTGGAGAGCGAGTGAAGTAACAGTTGTGTCTGCTGTGTACCACCTCTGCAGCTGTGAGGATCTCTGCCCTCCAGGGAAGCACGGGCCGCAGTGCGAGGAAAGATGCCCCTGCCAGAATGGAGGCATCTGCCACCACGTGACCGGGGAGTGTGCATGCCCACCAGGATGGATGGTAAAAACATTTTCTGAAATCGACAGTGCCCTTCAAAATTTCTAGAACTCAGGCAGCAGAAACAAAGAACAGTGAATGAGAACATAAAATGTAGCCAGGAGTAAGAAGTGTACTTGAGCATGAAAAACTGGAATAAAATACTTGAATAATCCATCTGTTGCTGAAAATCCTCCAGCTCTGCACTGCCATTTTAACCATGTGAGGTCTAGGGAAGCAAGGGACGTGAATTATACCATAAACAGGTAGTATCCATTGAATTTTGTCTAGAAGGTGTTCACTTCCAGATAGAACTTAATACTCTAGGGAGCTGATACCTCCTTAGAGAGACATTATGTATTTTTCGTGGGGGTTTTTGCATCTATTTTTAAATGTATACTATGCATTTACAACAAACAAACAAAAAGAAAACACCCAAACTTTAAGGTATTGTGTTAAGTGATGCTAACAGAAACAAGACATTAGAATTTGACCGTTATCTTTTCACTTTCTACCCTCTGGTCAGTGCAAAGGGAAGGAAGCTACAAATGAAATTCCTCACTTGCATGTAGGCTCCTTTGCCAGACTGGCAGTTCTGAGTTAGGAAGTTGGAAGATGATCAAAAGGATGGATAGTGATCAAAGCCCAACAGTTTCCTTATAAAATATTCATAGATAGTATTTACAATCATATTTATTCATTTTTTTTCTACATACATGTCTATGACAGGTGAAAATCTACACTTATCGAACTTCTCATTATCATGATATATGAGGAGTTCAGTGGTAACATGGGCTCTTCACCAGCGAGGGTACATCACTGTGAGCAAATGATGTCTCACTGTGTGAGCATTGCTCACCTGTCAACCTAACTTGGAGTATGGTAATTTTAACATTTATTCCATTTTGTGATGGAAGAATGTAAGTTATTGATCACAGGATACAGTTGTTTGCATTTTGCCTTTACTTCTTCTATGGGCCTCAATGCCACTTATGTAAAGAAATACAGCATATGAAGAAGTAGTGAAAAATTTCTGCCAGAGCACAAACTAATTAACTAATAAGTTACTCTTTAGCTTTTAGATTAGTTATCCACTCCAAATAGTTATATAAGCATAATTCGATATTAGTTTTAGATTTCTCAATTTTGTGTGATGATTTTGTTAACATAACCTTTTTTGCTTTCCATGCAAAGTTGGCATAAAGTAGTCAAATACAAATTCTAAAGTGTCTTATGTTAGCTAAAATTCCCATGTATCTTTTGCCTGGTGAGACACTTGTAAATCTGCTTCTCTTGAATTGGCTTCTTAAAAGTCTTAAGGCCTGATACTTCTCTCAGTACATAACTGCAGTTAATTCCAAATGTGTAATTAGCAGTTCAGAAATTGAAGTCTTGTGGAAAAGAAGCTTTTAAGGTATTTCACTGCTTTCAGTGAAATTAGACAGCTTCTCCTTTCACCAGAAATAACAACAAGAGATCACGAAGTCATATGATTGGGGCATTACAGCAACCGTGCATTTCTACGCTCTTATTCACTGGAGGGCATTTCCAGATGTCTTGATATATATGGCTGCTGATAAAGAAATTGGGAAGAGTTTGACATCAATTACTCTTAAATGCTTTTTAATTTTCAGTGTTGCTTAGAAATAGTATTTTCCACAAGCTTTGGCCCGCTAAATGGAAATCCTGGAGAACTGTTACTGTTTAGTGCTGAAACATTGACTGTGAGATGGAGATGAGCATTTCTAGGATCTGCACTAGATGAGGGACATGATCTCACTCTCCCTTCATTGCAGACCTTTCTTCCTTTTCCATTCAACCTGAAATCGAAATGTAAGATTCTTTTTCTGCATACACAGGGCATGGTCTGTGGTCAGCCTTGTCCTGAGGGTCGTTATGGGAAAAACTGTTCCCAGGAATGTCAGTGCCACAATGGAGGGATCTGCGACTCAGCGACAGGTCAATGCCATTGCAGCCCAGGCTACACAGGGGAAAGGTAAGAAAAAAATTATTTTTGCTTAAACCTGCAAGGGATCTGGTACAACAGAGAAAGTAGAGAAATGGGAAAAGTGGGAAAAGTGGTAAAAGTGGGAAAGACAAAAGAAAATGCCCATGTTATCATTAAAAGTTTTGTGTAGTGTTTTCCACATCACTTATCAGATATTGAATCTCAAGTGAAAAGCGATTACTTTTCTGTGAAGAGTTGCTTGGTTTCAGGAGTTTTATGCTGTGGCCCACACTGCCAGTGTCCTTTGGGTCTTCATTCGAGTGCTGTGCAGAATGATATAGATAGAGCTGTGGGGTAAGGAGAGAAGCTCTTGGTTTTCTCTAGATGTTTGGCAATGGCAGTAGCGAGAAAGGCTCCTCCTGTTCCTCTGCAAAGTGAGCAGGCTGGAGAGTTGTCTCTTAAAGTATTGTGTTCAAACAAAGAAATGAAACTTTGGTATTTTCTAATTTGCTGTTAAAAAATCTTTTTTGGTAGATTTCAGAGGAAAGAAAATGGCAATTTTTGAGGCAGGGAAAAGTGAAAAAAATGCTTTCCTGCATACATTTTAAACAGCACACAACTCATTTGCTGAAGTCAGCAGTGTCTTAATCACTGTGGTCAGTCCAGGGGATCTCTGCCAACAACAGTTAAGTATTATAACTGTATGCTCTTCCCACGTGAGCTTCACAGGACATAGAGAAAGCTGTGTCACGCATAAGGAAAAAAGAAATATGAAGAAGAGACACACTTAGTTCAGAGCCTGCAAAAATTATGAGGGCTGCTCCGAAAGAAATGCCTCCTATTTTATTATGTTGACCCATGATGTCTGAGGTGGATGTTGGTGGTACGGCAGTAGAGGTTGAACCTTCCCACTAATATCTCATTACATGTTGCTTTCTGACAGATAGCAGCAGAGGGGCAGTTTGACAGAATGATGTCTGACATGGAAGTGCATATGAAGCAAAGGTGTGCCATTGAATTCCTCCATACAGAAAAATGGCACCCATTGACACTGGTCATTCAATGACCATAAACATTCACAAAGCATTGTATTGGTGAATGTTTATGGAGACCAAACAGTGGATATGAGCTCAGTGAGGGGGTGGGTGGTGTGTTTCAGCAGTGGTGATAGCAATGAAAAAGACAAACCACATTCTAGACAGCCATGCACAGCTGTGACACCACAAAATGAAAAATGTCTTGATAAGCTCATCTGTGTGACTTGGTAGATCATGACTAGGGAACTAAGTATAGAGCTGAATACTGCCTGTGTTGGAAAAGAAGGTCACAATTAATATCACAAAGTTGACTCTATAGCTGGCTGATGTGGTAGCCCAGCCACCTTCCCTCATATTTGAAAAGTCTTAGCTGTCAAGCAAAGTCCCCCGTTACTGGAAAAAGGGAAACATCACTCCTATGTGTAAGAAAGGGAGCAAGGGGGATCGAGGGAACTGCAGGCTGGTGAACCTCACTTCTGTGCCTGGGAAGATCGTGGAGATCCTCCTGGAAAACATGCTAAGGCACATTTGAGATGAGGAGGTGATCTACGACAGCCAGCATGGCCTCATGAAGGGAAGGTCATGCCTCACCAATCTGGTGGCCTTCTGTGATCGAGTGACAGCATCAGTAGACAAAGTGAAAGCAACTCATGTCATCTACCTGGACTTCTGCAAAGCTTTTGACATGGTCCCCTCCCACATTCTACATCCTTTTCTCTAAATTGGAGAGATACAGATTAGAAGGATAGACTATTCAGTGGATGAGGAATTGGCTAGATAATTGCAGCCAGAGGGTTGTGATCTGCAGATATATGTGCAGGTGGAGGCTGGTGGTGAGTAATGTCCTCCCAGAGTCTGTCTTGGAACTGGTGCTCTTTAATATCTTGATCAGTAACATACGTTATAGGCTTGAGGGCACCCTCAGCAAGATTACTGATGACACCAAGATGAGTGGTGTAGTTGATATGCCAGAAGGAAGAGATGCCCATCCAGAGACACCTTAATAAACTTGAGAGACAGGCCTGTTTGAACCTAGTGAGGTTCAATAAAGCAAAGTGCAAGGTTTTGCACTTGGGTTGGAGTATTCCCAGATATATATACAGACAAGGAGAAGAACTCCTTAAGAGTAGCCCTGCTGAGAAGGACTTAGGGGTCCTAGTAGATGAAAAACTTAACATGAGGCATCAGTGTGTGCTTACAGCCCAGAAGTCTAACACAGAAGAGGGACAGTTATCTCCCTATATTCTGCCCTTGTGAGACCCCAGCTGGAGTACTGTGTCTTTAACTGGGATCCCCAGCACAGGAAAGATGTCAAGCTTTTGGAGAGGGTCCAAAGGAGGGCCATGAAGGTGATCCAAGGGCTGGAGCACCTCTCCTACACAGGTATGTTGGGATGGTTCAGTTTGGAGAGTAGAAGGCTATGGGCAGGTCTCATTATGGCCTTCCAATATTTAAAAGGAAATTATAAACATGAGATAAATTAACTTTTTACATAGGTTGATAGTGATAGCACAAGGGGGAGTGGTTTTAAACTAAAGGATGGAAGATTTAGATGTTGGGGAAAATTTTCACTAAGAGGGTGATAAGGTGCTGGAACAGGTTGCCCAGAGAGGTTGTGGATGCCCGCTCGCTGGCCCTGCATGTGGCAGGGGTGTTGGAGATTCATGATGCTTGAGGTCCCTTCCAACCGTGGCCATTTTGTGATTCTGTGGTCCCTGGAAGTGAATGGGGCTCTGGGCATCCAGATCTAATCTAGCAGCTGGCAACCCTGCCTGTGGCATGGGAGCTGGAGCATGATGATCCTTGAAGTTCCTTCCAACTCAAGCCCTTCTATGGTTCTATGATTCTGTGATTCTATGAAAGCTTGTGTCAGATGGGGTCCCATGAATGTTTACACAGGAACAGAAAGAATATCATATGCAAGTTTGTCAAGACCTACTGAACCAATACAAGGCTGAAGTTTCCTGGATCACATCATTACCGGTGACAAGATGTGGTGTCTCCACTATGAGCTGGAGTCAGAATGACAATCCATGGAGTGGGCATGTGAAATCCCCATCAAAGAAAATGTTAAGGCACATTCCTCAGCAGGTTAAGTGGTCCTGCATTTCCTGAAACTCAGACAATCCACTGCAACACTGACTAAACTGAAGGCTCAAACTTCAGCGTCAGGACATAGAAGAAGCCAACCTTTCTCTTGCAACACAGTAACTCCAGGCCCCATATCAGTTTGAAGACAATGGAGCACATTGCCCATCTTGTCTGGAGTATCACACCATAGCCATCACATATTCAGAATTTTGAGCCTTCTGACTTTCTTCTTTTTGGGCTGATGAAATGCACTGTATGGGCAACATTTTCCTAGCAACAGTGCTGTCATAGCAGCTGTGAAACAGTGGGTCACCTCTGCTGGTGCAAATTTTTGCAAGCCTGGCATGCATGCTCTTAGTTCATCACTGGCAAAAATGTGTAGCTAATGGTGTTGACTATGTTGAAAAAGAGTATTTTGTAGCTGAGAATTTGCTCTATCAAATGGCATTATTTTACTCCTTGTATCTGTTGTAGATTCCATTTGAATAAATAGGAGGCATTATTTTTGGAGCAACCTGTGCAAATTTGCCTCTAAGAAACATTGCAGTAATTGGTAGATGCATTTAAAGATAGATATTTCAGCAGTAAATCAAATGAATATTCATGTAAGAATGCACATATCACTCTCTGGTCTTTCTTAAAGCAAATTTTTTTGTCTTGGAATATAAATTGTACTGTAGTCAGAAATTCCTAGCAGATTGCAGTATTTTGATTCCTTTTGCAAGTCTGAGCTCCCTCTTTCCTGCAAAATAGGATGAATTTTTCAATCTTTTGTTTTTTGAGATACTCTAAGGGCGTGAATGGGTCAGAAGCAGGATTGTAGACAGACAGTAATTTCATGGCTGTAGATCAGCGAGGGTTGGAAGTATTACAAGAAATGCATGGACATTGGCTGAGCTAGTGTGAACATTCCAGCAGCAAAAAGGACAATACTTAGAAGACGCTAAACTATTTTCAGCTTTTGTTTTTAACTTACTAGTATATGCCTGAGATTTCAATGGGGTTAGCTAGAAAAAAATAATTGCTGGAGTATAATCACAGTTTCTAGGTGATCTAATTTAACACAAGAGAATCTAGTTTAAAGTTGAACTCTTCAAAACTGATGAAGATGCTATTAAAAAGAAATTGGAGAAATAAATCTTGTCTCATTTGTGTGGGGTCACTGGTTGTCATCTGGAGAAATTTCATTCTCAGCTTTATCTGTATAACTTTATTAGGAAAGATTTAGATAGATTCCACTTTATTGTAACTCCCTTTGAAGTAAAAGAGATTTCATTACTGTCTCCAGTTACACCTTAAAATTCCCAGATTGAGGCATGTACCACAGATGCATGAAATGAATATGTCTTCCCATTCTACCTCACAGGGTTCTGCTGAATGTGATGCAGTGTCTTGTATCATACTAGCCTTTGAAATTCTCCTAAAGTAAACCATCAATCATACAGTTTTATTCTTCAACGCTAACTGTATAAGAAAAGTGGAAAGAGACTATCATTTAGATTTTTTTATATGACTGGTGAAATCAGCAAGTTTTAAGCTGATAGAAGCATTAACAGTGTGTCATATTAACAGGTAATCTGTAACTTGATAAAGCATACACGTACCCAAATTGTAGAAGATGTTATGTGCATATTATTCCCTGGTGAACTGACAACAGGCCTCATGGCTTTGGTCTCAGAATGTTCTGGTCAGAAGCTCTGAGATTTCGACATTTTATTGTTTTTTCTATGTTTGCGTAATTAATAATTTATAGAATAATTACACTGTTGAATATGAATATTTTCCCTGAGACAGAACTTATGGAATGTTGTCATCCCTGGCTCTGGAGCATGAACCTGTTGAGCTGAGAGGTCTACCCTGACACACACAACCCAGTATTTTAACTGTCCTTGATGTTGGAGCCTTTAGTGGTGCTGCTGACAGTTAAAGATGAAAAAGATGAAGCTTGCATCATATCTGTTAAATCACTGAATGAGCTTTTATGAGGGGACTCGCTAGGAATCAATTTTCAAGTTCTCAATTAGTGGAAATTGCCTAGACAGTTAAACATATAGCCTGATCTTTATGTAAAATGTGTTTGATGTATGAAAGATTAGTGAAATACAAATTAGCTAAATCAGTTATCTTCTAAACACTCTGCAAATGAAAAGGAAAACTTTGATGAACAGCTATATTTATTAGGAGACATTCTCCTTAAGGAGCAAGAAGAAATTATTGCTACCTACCCATATGGTTTAAACTCCAGACTTCTCTATCATATAAATACAAAATCAGTGCAGTCAGATGCAATAAAGAGTTTGGGACTCTTGATGATTTTCCCAGGTCATCATATGAATCTACAAAGGGTAAAGAAAACCATATAAAGAAAAATTTCAGAATGAAATTCAGGAAATAAAGTCACTGTGAAAACAACATCTATTTGGAAACATAATTAGAAAATACTCTCTCTGGAGTCAGCTGAGAGCAATTGCAAAGGATCTTCTGTTTCAATGTCTGCAGGGGCACAGATGTCTGCTGGCTGTTCACAGTATTGCCAAGTGGAATATCCAGATCACTAACCAAAAATAAATGAATAAGTGATGATTAAAAATATGGATGGACATCTTTTGAAACAAAATTCTTGAAAATTTATTACATTTCATACCTAACTTCTGATTTAAGAGGATTCAATTTTGTTCTGTTATTGAATGTGAAATGTGGTGGTCTGTGTATATTGTCTCCTTTGTTGTAGAGAAGAGAGACCTTTTCCACAGTAATCTGTGGAGGCAGTGTTTTTAAGCCTGTCTTGTTAGCAAAGGAATCCAGAGAGACAGGCATTTTAAAATATAATGGCATGTAAATTCATGGTCTACTTATGACAAATTTTAGACCTGAGTCAGATTCCTCGTAAACAGAATTTTCCTTAAATCCCTAAAAGCTGTAGTTTACTTCAAGTAAAATTAATTGCTTTCTCCTTTGTTTTTCTCACAGATGTCAAGATGAGTGTCCAGTGGGCACTTATGGAGTACAGTGTGCTGAGACCTGCCAGTGTATGAATGGTGGGAAATGCTACCATATCAGTGGTGCTTGCCTCTGTGATCCAGGATATACTGGAGAGCACTGTGAAACAAGACTTTGCCCTGAGGGAGTTTATGGCCTCAAATGTGACAAAAAGTGTCCCTGCCACTTGCATAATACCTGGAGGTAAGCTTTACAGCCTATAGGCTGTTCTCTTTTTCTGTGTAGGCCTAAGAGATCAGAATATAATCTGAAAAGAAATAATTTCTGATGCAGAAGGGCTTTCTGATATACATTCATGAAAATGGAAGCAACTAAAGATTTCTGAGAGTCTTTAGTATTCTCTAGTCATAATAAGAAAGAAGATACCAACTCCAAAGAGCTTCTGATTGTTGGTACTTCTATGTGTATTCATTCTTAATATTAACCTCTACGTTCAGTCATTGATACATGATATAAATGTTATGACAAAATGTGAACTTTTTCTGTATTTACCACATGAATACATCTCTGTATTCCTCACTGTATGAAGTCAATTCTCTGGGATACTTAAATGTGAACTCAATTGAAATCAATGTGTATAGAGTCTTAAGATTGAGTCCAGTAGGGAGAAGAATCTATTTCTCCCTCTTCTCTCTCTCTCCCTCCACTCTAAAAGAATTAGAGCAGGTGAGTAATTTAATCCGAAATTTCTGAAGCCCTACCAATTGTAAATGTAGTTGTTTTTTTTTTTTTAACTGTCACTTAAACACCAGAAAGCTCTTAAAATCTAATCCCTAGAAACCAACTAAAAGTAGTTTTTCACTCATCTTACTTTTTCCCATCTCTCCTTTCTAGACATAGTCTCATGTTTTGAGTTTTGTATGTCTTTGTGGACTCCACTCTGAACATACTGTTAGGAAAATCTGTAGACCTGACTGTTTGGAGACAGTCTTTCAGCTGCAAGGAGGAATGTCAGTTGAAGCAAGTCAGTGTATTTAGATAACAATTCTTATTACAAAACTTTTCCTTTATGAAATACTTTGGTCACTGCATTTGCTTACATGTACCTTTGTTAATAGTCACAGTACCTTATATAACTTTTGTGAGTATATGATGAATTTAAATGTTGAAAACTCTTGTCAGAGAAATTTGCAGAAATTATTTACTGTAGCACAGAAAGCTGTTGTACTTTGTATACAGATTAAAAAAAAGAAAAAAAAAGCCTTTAGTATTTAGAAGTGATGTTAAAACACTCAAGCACTTATTTCCACATATGTGGAAATAACCTATTAGGGCTCTGTGAAAAATTGTTTTGTGGATTGCCTGAGTTGTTGAACATACCATTCATTGGCAAGCAATGTGACAGCAAGCTGAATTTACTTTCCATTCATGTGCTTGCACAGCCGTGTACTTGCAGTTCTGTTTATCCCATTTACTTGAGATGCCTTTTGAAAAAACCAAAAACAAAAAAACACAACTGTGTTTTTGACATAAAATCAAGCCACTTTGGGCAATACATTCAAGAATAAATGGAATCATAATGCTGACCTGTCTAGCTCTCAAATTATGCTGGGAGACTGAATACTATTGCATTATGAATTATGCTAGCTACACTTCTGCAAATGTGTCTGTAGACTGTTGCAGAAGCTTTGTTTGACAGAAACGCATTACAATGTATAGTGTTGCTAATATTACTGGGATTATTTCTGGTTCATGTTCAACACAGCTGTTTCTTCATTTATACTGTGCAGGACAGCTTGTCGTCAAATCAGATCACAAATGTTCACATGTAAACAGTAACATATGGTTGATTGGTCTTTTGAACATCTTCGCCTCTATATGACAAATAAAAACTATAGGTGAGGGAGCATATTTGCAAGGGCAGAATAACCAGCAAGGAAAGCAAAAGTTTTCATGACTTTAAAAGTGTATTTGTCATAGGTGAATAATATCAGCAAATAACAGACATCAAAGGCTAAAAGGCTATTTGAGTAATCATTGGAAGGGATTGAGTTGGAAGGGCCCTCAAAGCCCACCCAGCCCCAGCCCGTGCTGTGGGCAGGGCTGCCCCCCACCAGCTCAGCTGCCCAGGGCCCCATCCAACCTGGCCTTGAGCGCCTGCAGGGTTGGGGCACCACAGCTTCTCTGGGCAGCTGTGCCATGGCCTCACCACCCTCTGAGTAAAGAAGTTCCTCCTAACATCTAACCTTAATTTCCCCCCATTTACTTCAAAGGCTTTCCCTTTCTTTTATGACTACCTGCCTGAGTAAAAAGTTGGACTTCCTCCAAACTAAGCTCCAAATAAGTATTGAAACAAATAGTTCAGAAGTGAGAACTTCCCTGCAGACTGTCACTTTTGGCATTTTTTTGAGAAGCAAGTCATCCAGGAGACAACTAAATATCAGTCATTCAGGATGTAACTTTATTAACACATTAGGGAATATTGTCATTTCGTACTTTGTTACCACAAGTAATATTTGGGCTTGTTTTAGCCAAAGGAACTTCATAGCATTAATCCATTTAACAGCAGTCAGTAGTCCCAGGATACTAAAAAGGTACTGTACTGTATCTCCTCTATTTATAAACTCCATGTGTCTTTATATCTAGGACTTTGAAGGGATTTCTTGGGATCTTTCACCTACATATGACCATTGATACAGATTTCTCAAAAAGGAGCTGTTGGTAGTCCTGAGCTCCATGTTATTGTTCACACTCTTGCATTCACAGATAAGAAAATGAACTAAAGGTTAATTAAAAAAAGTAATTAGCAGCAAAAAATGTTCCTGATCTCAGATGAAACCTAAAAATGTTGTGTACACATTTCTATTATGATATTATGATTGAGGAAATGGCATCAAAAACAACTTTGCCAATAATTCATTTTTTAAAAAAAAGTGAAGTCAATTTACATGCAGGCTAGGCTAAGCTACAGTTGTTCGCTGCTGCTGTTGGTTAATGGAGCTCCTGAGAGTGAAAAGCATGCACACTGCTGTTCTAGCTATGAACAGTACCAGCCAAAATAGCCATGCACCCCATAAAGGGTTAGATACAGGTGCATTCCAGAGATTTTGTTCTTTTTGCACAGCAGCAAATAACAACCTTCTTCAGTCATGTGATGGTTCTTCCCTGTTATGTCTTTTCATAGGTATGAGCTAGAGTGAAAATCAGATACAGACTTCTGTTCCTGATTAGGTGACACTATTGATATTCTCCTTTTTACTAGACTGCCAAGAATAAATCCAGAGTGAGTTAGCTGGCTGAAAATCAAGACATTCATCTGAATTGCTATAATATAATACATATTTTCACAGATTTATTTTATGTCAGTGTACAATGTAAGGCTGTACTTCTAGAAAGTATGAACAAAAGACTGCAAATAAAAGTGAATGTACCGGCAGCATTTCTCAACATGTCTTTGTTTCCCTATCTTAACATAAATCTTATTGACAATTAAGCTAACTGCTTAATTTGATGGGAGAACCCATCAAAAAGCTTTAGAACAACTCCAGCTTCCTACATCTAATTACAAATTATGGAGTACTAATTTTGGTGTCAATCAATATATGTGCAAGTATGCATTGTAACACTCGCTGGGGGGGCACAGAATATCGATGCCTCTGTCTGCTTCATACCTAATGCTTGCTCATGCATATAGGCTCCCTCTATTCTAAAAGGAAAAGGACCAACAACAAATGAAGCTGGGATTTACTCATATGTCTTAAAATACTAATTTTACATTTAAAATATTCTGATTCATATTCTAATGACTGTTCAGTCATGGATTGAACAACCCTTCCACATTCCCTGCCCTGTATTCCTCCACTGCTAAGAAACCTAGGGATTGGATCCAAAATGCCACTACAAAATGTCTAAATGTCTACAGGATGGAGTTAAGAATAGGGTACAAATCTGATTCTACCATTATGTGTTTTCTTAGTCTAGCATTTTGTTTTCCATGAGAATAGTTCTGTTCCAAGTAATTTCATTGGTAAGTATACTTATAACTGAATAAATAACCAGAAGTGTTGACTATGAATCCCATGAGTTTTGAATCAATTTTGCATACATCATTTAGCTAAAACAACTTTTCCTCTTGGCTTTATGTACGCTACCTTAATACTTTTAAAAAGAGGTTTTAATTCTTCATGACCCTCAAATTCTTGTATTGTTAAAGGGTAAACAATTGTTTATACAGAACTGACTGTACAATAACATTTTATGCCCTTTATAGTTCATTCTTTCCTTGATCAGCACTGTATTGTCAGTTGTGTCTCACAGTAAGAAACTTCTGGTTTGAAAGAGCATATTTTGAGACTAAGAGCAATTAATACTTCTTTTCCTTGTTATGCAACTTTTTCAAAGAACATGATTATTACTTATGTTACAGTACTTACAAGTGTAGTAGGTGTTTTTTTAAAACTTTCCAGTGGCTATAATAAATATATTAAACTTTCCAGTGGCTATAAAAATACTTTATTTCACACACACCACACACCCCCACGCAAATTGTAAGCAAATCTCGCAGAATCAGTCTCTTGTCATGGGTAATTTAACGTGCCTGGACAAAGACACATTTTTCCAGCACACTTAAAGAAACTTCAATCAGTGGCAGACAAATATCTTTAAACAGTCTTTCCATTGTAAATATATTGGATTTGGATTGTAAGGCTTTCCTTTGGTGAGAATTAAGCAAGTGCTTTGTCTGCCAGAGTCTTACAGAGTACCCCATTGTGTCCACTTCTCCAGCACATACATCTTAGCACAGCTGATGATGTCCATTTGTTATGAGGCAACAGCTGTCTGACTAGCCCTTCAATGGAACTGCTGTTCCAGGTAGGGACAGATGGTCTGCCACCAGGTATGGCCAGCACAGGGAAGATACTCTCCAAAAGATTCCTGGTCTGGTGGTATATCTGAATTCTACCCAATGCAAGTGATTTTGTAGCATTCCTGGAAAGATACCTGTTGTTCTCTTTTAAACTAGAGGTTTGGAAAGAGCATGCTTGCAACTCATTCAATGTTGTGTTACTGTTTTAGGATTAGTTGCTGTATTGTTATTTTAGTGAAGCATCATTTCTCAGAGAAATTGCTGCTGAATTTGGTCAGCCTTATGATAAGGATCCTATTCTTATATAAAATAAACATCTAGTGATACATTTTGGGATTTTAATGCTTTCATCACTTTAATATCAATAACCATGGATATGTATTTAGTAGTAAAAACTAAGTTTTGAGAGATAAGTTTGTCTTCAACAAGCTGCAGAAAAGTGATATATCTTTTCTCTCCATGTCCTCTCAAAATGTCTGTATGATATGTAATACTAATTTCTCTGATCTTATTAAGCATGCATTTTTACATGTATAGACAGAACCCTTTGCTCTGTGGTTTGGGAAGGAAACCCATCTCTATGTATAGAATGCAAGATCCTTTATGCAACCTATCTGTAGCAGCATTTTGTTCTCCGGAAAAAAATACTGGTGTCACATTTAGCCCTAAATTATTTATCCTTTCATCCCCTCTTGGCAGCTGTCACCCTATGTCTGGGGAATGCTCCTGCAAGCCTGGCTGGTCTGGGCTCTACTGCAATGAGACATGTTCTCCAGGGTTCTATGGCAAGTCTTGTCAGCAGATCTGCAGCTGCCAAAATGGTGCTGATTGTGACAGCGTGACTGGAAAATGCACCTGTGCCTCTGGATTTAAGGTAAATAAGTTTCACTTTCTTTACTGAAGTGCAGAAGGGTTAAAGATGCTAGAGTGTCCTTTCTCTACCACAGTAAAGGAGAGGTAAGAATAGTTGGCTATCACAGGGTGTGTTACAGATTAAGACCCTGGAAAGGCAGAATTTCTGTTTAGCTCTAAGTACTGAAATGTAACAATGGTTAAGAAAGAAAAGTTCACTGCTTCATAGGACATTGATATACAAATGAGGAAGTGCTCCTGAGATAAAGGAATGAACTATAGGTTTCAGTTGTTATCTTACTGTATTGATTCCTTGTGCTCCATTCAGAGAAACTCTTGACAAAGACACTTATTTTTACAGTGTAAGGTACATTTTTCAGTAGCTTTTACACATTTGCTGTTCTTTGTGCATTGGATGCTAATAATCTAACACAGAAATGTTTTTGCAGTATGACTATTCTAGCAGTAATATTTCAACTAAATTAATTCTTAAAAGATTTTGCATAACCACAGTATTTTCCATTAAACTACTATCTGACTGTATTTTGGTTTTGCAAAGGACTTTTTTATTACTAAAAATACCGTCTATTGATCTCACCATGTGCTGTTCGTTAGCTCTGTGACATGAGCTCTGATTGCAGCTGATGGTTATAGTAGACCTAAAAGTCATGGAGAACTCAGTGTGAAAGACTTCTTTTCTCTTAAATTCAGGATAAATCAGTGACAGCCTAGGATAGTCGTGACTTGTGTGTTTTCTGACTTGTGGGGCATCTGAGTCAGTCATCACAATCAGTCAATTCCATGTCCAGGTAGTTTGTTACAGCTACAGTTATATTGCCTGAACTTTCTATAAGAGTTTTTAGACTATTTTTGTGTAATTCAGGGTGCTGATTGTGGTACTCCTTGTCTTCCGGGTACGTACGGAGTAAATTGTTCTTCTGACTGCAACTGTAAAAACGAAGCCGTATGTTCGCCAGTAGATGGTTCTTGTGCTTGCAAAGCAGGTAAGTGTGTCTTCAGATTAATATTCTGAAATCATAAAATCAAGTTGAGTTTTTGAAGTTGAGAAGAAGCAGCGCATTTAATAAACAGCAGACCAACTGTAAGGCCATATATTTTATTCTCTATGCTTCTCCTGCAGTGAGGGGTGAAAAATGGGAGAGCATCTGCTCAGAGAAGAGGGCACGTACTTTGTATTCATCTGAAAGAGCTGGATACTGTGGCTAGGTGAACTACTAGTATTTATTTAGTCTGAAATGGGCTGCCGCTTGCCTCTTCATGGCAGGGCTAGGATTTGCTAGAATGACTTCTGGTACGCATTTTATGTGTTGTTAGGCTTCCTAGCCAAAGCAGCCCTGTTTCTGATCCATCTGGATGAGCACCAGGTCTGTCTACCACACTCTTTGTACCACAGACACAATTATTTTTCTGCCATTTTAACACTGATGTTGGTCTCTCAGCAAGAGACAAGTTTTGAAGAGATCTTTTCACATGTAAAGATCTACAGATCTGTATGAGTTCCCATTCTATACAAAATATAATACTAAGTTCCATTTAAAGATCCCTTCCTGAAATACACACTGAGGATGTGCTCTTTTTTTCATTTCTGCTGTAAGAAAGCTTTTAAAAGGCAGCATCTCTCAGCTGTGATGCTGGATTACTGAGAAGAGAGGGGCAGGCAAATCCATAAGCCCAGTTTATGTTTTCTCCCACTCTAAAAATGTTGGAGGGACCTCAAAACCCACCCAGCCCCAACTCGTGCCATGGGCAGGGCTTCCCCCCACCCCAGCTCAGGCTGCCCAGGGCCCCATCCAACCTGGCCTTGAGCACTTCCAGCAATGGGGCACCACAGCTTCTGTGGGCAGCTGTGCTAGGGCCTCACCATTCTCTGAATGATTAATTTTCTTATAATATGTAATCTAAGTATCCCCTCTTTTAGTTTAAAAGCATTCCCCCTTGTCCTATCACTATCATACTGTTTAAAAAGTCCATCTCCTCCAAAAAGGAGGTTTTTTTAAGCCTCCTTTAAGTGCTGGAAGGACATAATGAGGTCTCTCCAAGGCCTTCTCCAGGCTGAACAAGCCCAGCTCCCTCCACCTCTTTTCATAGGAGGGGTGCTCTAGATATCTGATCATGTCTCCTTACATCCTTTCCCTATTAACTGAATATATTTTCTACAAGTTTAATAACTCAGGTGCCCGGTGGAGGTTGGTTTGACACTAGTAAGACAATGATGAAATTCCCATTGATTTCAATGAAATGAGAATACCCTACAGTTTTCACATTGCATATAATTATCACTTTCCTGCTTTGCTCCTTCTACAAAAGTTCTTCTGCTTTTTGAATTAGTAGTCACACTGCTTTTCAGTCATGATATTTAGAAATTAGGCAGCTCTGTAGCTCTGAGAAAAGCAGGTTGGTGTGGGTAGATCAGCATGCATTCGGAAAATGTAACCTGCCTGCCATTGAAAGATTCCATGTCTGACATTATTTGCTTCTTTTAACTGTGCTTATGCTATGGGAAGCTCTTTAAGGAGACAGAGAAGGAAACTTTAAAAAGCCTTGAAAAAGCACTGGAGAGAAAGTGTCTCAATTTTTTAGCTATTACAGTGTAACATTTTTTCCTGAAATGACCCCTAAACTCTGAAATTATCAATCTAGGACACGAGGCAGTTCTATTTCAATACATTTGTTTTGCATAGTCTATTGATTGTACTCTCTGCTGAATTATTTTTCCTTTCACTTACTGTAAACAAGGTACAAAATTAGAAACTTGACTTGTGTCATTGCTGATGATAACATATGAACTGGCTCACTTGTTTTCTGTCATACCCAGTAGTTGATCACACTTTTGAAAACCTATTTACATTTCTGTTTATCCAGTGCACAGTCTGTGAATCATTGCTATCAGACATAATCAGTGGTGAACACTGCATTTCAGAGACACTTTCCATTACGTTCTATTTTGTGTTTTGAAGAGAAGTGCAGAAGTCATCTACAAGGTCTTCTGTGTATCCTTGGAGAAATCCAGCTTGTGCACTACTTTACTGTTTTACTTTCTCTATTTTTATATTTTTTCTCTGGGGGGGTGTGGTGGGGAGGAAAATCTAAGATTTCTGTTAAAACCACACTGCAGAACTGTCTATATTTAGTAATGGTGTAAGAACTATGAAAGTAGCAGCTTAAGTGAAAAGATTGTAATTTTTTTCAGGCTATCCCTGTAAACTTTCAAGATAGCTAGTACTTCTCAGCAAAATTTCAAGGTGTCTGTGATTACCTTTCAAATCTCTCATCAATGGCTCCTGCATGTTGGCACTGTCTGCAAAGTATGTGCTGTGCACAGATGTTACAAGGTGCCCTTCTGCGTCTTTGTTCAAATCCAGATAAATTCTCAGCTGAAATAGTATCGCTATCCTATAGAGATTCTGTGTGCCTCAGAGATTCCAAATGGGAGGTGGAGGGAAATGTGTGCTCAGTGAGGAGCTGGGGGGAAACCTGATTAATTTGTCACTTTAATTCTTGTTTATGGTAGGTTGGCATGGTGTAGACTGTTCAGTCAATTGTCCCAGTGGTACCTGGGGACTTGGCTGTAACTTAACTTGCCAGTGTCTTAACGGAGGGGCTTGCAATGCTCTGGATGGAACCTGTTCCTGCGCCCCGGGCTGGAGAGGAGAAAAGTGTGAACTCCCTTGCCAGGTAGTTCAATCATTTTGCTCAATATGGCACTGTGTTAATACCGGGCAAGGGGACACTAGTATAATTCTTCTCACTTTATTGGAATAAATCCCTAAGAAGCGCTGCATCTAACAGTCATCCCATGTTTGACCAGATTCAAGATTAGGGACATAAAGCAATTCTTTAAGATTTTTTTGGGAATGCCTTTGGTTTTCTTTCAAATGTAGCTTAGCGTACGCTCATTCTGATATAGCAAGTAAAGTGACAGACAAATCTAAAATATTCTGGAAAGCTGATTAGAGTGCTTCCTGTGTGTGTTTATGCAGCCTTTCCAACAAATGCATCTCAATTAGAAGACTAATTTTTGTTTTTCTAAAAAAGCTTTGCTTATCACTTAGCATCTAATTCTGAAAGACGTTGGTAAGTATCTCCTAAATTCCATTAGTTCTTCTGAAAGTGGCTTGTTAGAAAAGATCAGTATTGTTTCATGCCATTTGCTCCATTGTTTCGAATATAGCAAGCTAGTGCTCAAAAGAAATTCTCAAATTTACAATTCCTAATCAACTTACTGTCATGTACTTTCTCAGTCTCCACTCACCTCTTATTTCTGTGTCAAATAGAATATTTTCCATATGTAAATACATATCAATGAATTTCACTTTTTTCATTAAATTTAGAAAATCAATACCACTGTTCAGATTATCAATCAGGATTGACTTAGTTTTGGGCAAAATACATAGAAGACTAGAATTACCCTTTTTCAGCAATATATTTCAAAACTTCCTTTATTTCCAAATCTGATTATAAACAAAGGAAGTGCCTGCCTTAATCTTTTCTTTTTCTCTCTATAAAAATGAATTCTTCAGATGTGCAAAACTCTCCTTATTCTCAAGTAATGTATGATTTTTTCTACTTCAGACTGGACAGACTGGGAATTTAATATCTGTATCCTATAATCTGTGAAACTCTACAGGGGAAAAAAAAAAGGGGGGGGGGGAGGGAGGATACCAGATGAATTATGATTTATGTTTTATTCCACTTTTTAATGTAACTTTGACCAGTTTTTCATCTTGAATATTGTCTTTTAAACCTGACATATCTTTTCTTTATTTATTTCCTTTGCTGTGAATAGTCCCAGAAGTATTACTCAAAATTATCCTGCCTTTCTCCTTGGTTTTGATGTTTTACACTTTCTGTTTACTGATGTATTTTTGCCTTCTTTTGAAAAAGCAATTGTAAAAATTTTATTTGTTTTTGTTTCTGAGATTGACCTTATATGAAATTATTGTCTAAAAGTTTGTGGCACCTTCTACTGAAGAAACAGGAAGTCAAATTCATGTATTCTGATACAGTTCCATGAAAATCAGCTGTGTTCTTTTGGCACAATTGAACATACTGAGAAGGTTATTTAACTTGTGATTTAACCTTTTGATAACATTTTTTGTTGGTTCAGAAATGTTCAACAGCCAAAATATAATTTTGTGTAATGTGTAATAGCAGAGAGCTTCTTTTCTAATATATTCTATGCTGTTATGCAGAAGAAAACATTATCAATCAAAAGAAAGTGATTCAGTGTGCATTCTTTAAGAAATAAACTTTACACTGAACATGTGTTTTAATACGTTTCGTTCCTATTTGATTCTTTTTTTTAGAAATTGTGGGTTTAAGGGCATCTTTTTTTTTTTCTTTATTTTTTTGACAAATACATGAAAAAAACAATCTGAGGCAGGAAGGAAAGTGAATTAATTTCCCATCTCTATGACTCCTGGGTCATAGACAAGGGACTGAGATGTAAGAGAAATAAGAAGGACAGTACAAGAGATTTACAGTGCTATCAGTGATAGGGTAGGTTTGTGTTCTCTAAAAAATTAATCCAGAATTCTTTATCTTCCCCGCTCAAATAAAAGAATGAAAATATAGAGCATCAACGTTTTCCAAAAGCCAGAAGCATTTTATATTAAGTAAACTGATTACAGGCTTAGAAGAGATCTGAGGTTTCCTTTTTCCTGAGGCAGGACTGACCAGAACTTGTTCTCATCCAACTCTCAGTTCTCATCATCTCTGTTTTGTTTTGTTTTCCTGGCTGCAGGATGGCACATATGGCATGGATTGTGCTGAACGCTGTGACTGCAGCCATGCAGATGGTTGTCATCCTACCACGGGTTACTGCCGCTGTCTACCAGGATGGTCAGGTACAAAAGAGACCATCGCGAAACACACCGAGAGTTTCCTGTATGATGGGAGTTGGTCTTGTCTTTCTTTTTTTTTTGTGGGTAGAAGAGTAGTATGTGGGCTTGGAAGGAGAAGCGGCCAGTTCTGTGGCTGTTGTGTCCCTTCCTGTGATTCACAGTCATGGAATCTTTGCTGGCTGTGGTTTATATAGGAAACTGGGAATAGAAGATGAAATCTTACAACCTGTGTACCTCCACATCATGACTCCTCATAAAACTGTTGAACAGCTGTTGACAATCAACCTTGAGTTAGCAGTTTTGATATAAGTTGTGCAGAATTGTGTTGTGTTGCCATTGAAGTTTCTCCTACTTTTGGAAACAAATAGATTCTCTTTATATATTTGGTCGTGAGTGAGTTCCCTTTTTTTTTTTTTTTTTCCCTGCAGCTTTGCTGTTGTGGCTTTAGGAAATCTATATAGTTATTCACCAGAGTTGTGTTTCATGCGTTATCAAAATGTTGCTTACGGAAAGCAGGGTTTTTTGAAAGTATGATGAAACTACGGGGAAGGTTCTACCATGGTGAAATAAATGTTCCCTTTATGAGATTTAATTCCCACATAGATCTCTATGCTGTAAACATTGGAAAAACTTGTTTATCTTCAATTATGATTAGTTGGCATGAGTTTGTCTTGCAGAATGTTCTGGATTTTGTGTTTCACTGTGAGATGCTCACTGCTGTAGCATTGCAAGGATCTGATTTCAAGTATGGACTCATTACATTTAATAATGAAAAGCCAGGAAGAAAAACATACCTTTTAACTTCTGCTGTTTTATGAAAGGAGTTTTTTGTGATTTCAGATGTAGTATAGTATTGCTTAATATCACCTCACCCATTCATAAGTTAACATTTTTCCTACTTGATTGGTACTCCATTATACAATTGTTTTCCTTTTTCTCTGGTGCTTCTAGCCATGTTAGATGGAGTTGAGTGGATAATCTGCAACAAGTAATGGCTTTGAAATGGTTAGCAAATTATTTTGCTCGTAAAAGTTTGTGTAGAGCTTATGACTTCTCAGATACAATCTCTGTTCATCTTTCCTCAAAATTTTATGCGTTCTTATTTCTTTCAGCTCTGTAGGTGGATCACGGGCATTCTGTGCAAAAGCCTGTGCCTGCAGTTCAGGTTGATTAGTTGTAGTCAAGTACAATTTGTGCAATTTGTCTGTAGGCTTGTGCCAAGTTCTCTGAAGAGGCTTTTTCCTTATTGTACTGTTCTGCAGCTGGTTTCAGTGTGAAAGACAGAGGTTTCCAGAGCCAGCACTTACCTTTGTGCGAGGCTTTGATTGAATTTATTCTCCTCCCACAAGCTGCAGTGTAACTTGCTGTCAGCCACTCAGATACCTCTGGGAAATGACTACCACAAGAATGCAAAAACAATAGAGATGATTTGAGTGGGTTGTTAAAAAAACCCCACAAATTAAACAAACAAAACAAGCAAGCAAGGAGACAAAAAAAAATTAAAAAAAAAACACATTATTCCATTTTTTTTCTAGAGATGCTGCTTTGTGTTATGGGTTATTTTCTTAGGATATTAATGGCCTCTGATGTTCTAGTTTGCAGGTAGCCTCAGAATTGCATTTAGGTCTTTGAACATTCTTTCTCAAAACTTTATTTGAATTGTTCAAAATACAATTTGTTAAGTTAATAAATCTATGAAAGCATACAGACATTGAAAGATACGTGAACAGTTACAGATCTTGAGGAACCTTGGTGTGGAGAGTTAGTGAGGTTCACAAGCTCTTGATGTATTGTCCAGATTAAGTCTTACGAGTTTTCTGTACTGGGACAAATAGTCAGAGACCAAAAGTATGTAAATGAGTAAAGCCAAATTAAAAGCAGTAGTTCTGAAAGGTCACAGTACAAATCTTAGCAGTGCTGGAATTCAAATATTGAAAAGGACAAAATATTTTTGACTTTAGTAAAAGCTTGCTACTTCTGCATATTTAGACTTCCTGTGTGATTGTAGATATAACTGGACACCCATCGCTGGATTATGTCATCTCAGCAGTGTGTAAGACTAGTTTCAACAAGTTGGTGATGTCTAGACGTACAACATGACATAAATGGGATAGCTTGCTTTATACTCAGTGTCTGGAAAAATCTTCCGCCCACACTTCACGTGTTGGAGCTGGGACAGGAGGAATCTGTTCTTTGAGTAGACATTTATATTTAGAATAATTTAAAAAAGGAGAGAATATTTTAGAAATGGGTTCTCAAATAGCTGTAATGTAATGTTACACTGCAGAGAGTAGCATTAGACTTCAGGATTAAGAAGGGTTGTTGTATGCATATGTGTGTGCGTAATAGGTGGAGAAACAGGTGGAGAATTTGTAAAATAAATAAATAAATAAATAGCAAAACAAAAATCAACCCCAAACGACCCAGCAACAACAACAAAAAACCAACACTCAAACAGGAAACCAGTTTGGGATCAGTCTGATGCTAAAACAAATGATGGTTATTGTTGCTGAACAAACATTGAAGGGAGTGTTAAAAAAGCACATTTAAACAAGCTTTTTTTGTTATTATGTTTTTTTAATTATCTTTTTTTATGATCTTTTTTTAAAAAGAATAAATCACTGAATTCAAGTCAAATTTCTCAGAATGTTCTGATGCCTCCAAATTTATGTAAAGCTTCAGAAAAGATACTTTAAGTGTAGTTCTTTTCTCCTCTCTCTGAATAGATCATTTTTCTAGTTTGCTCAGGGAAAAAGAGTTCATGTAACTCTGCTGAAACAGATTGGGAGTGGAAGATTTTTCCCTTGCTGGTGGATACAGTTGTGCCATAGCACTGGGGCAGAGGAAGCGCACTGCCCTGGAGACAGTCAGAGCCCTAGTAGGATAAATGCACCTCGGATAGCCAGGGCAGCTATGCTTCCTGTGCTTTGGTCCCAAGACAGAACTGTAGCTGAGCATTCTGTCAGCAGAAGGATGCTAGATAGCTTAGTTTCGTAAATAAGCTTAATTTTCAAACATGCCTGTTGTATAATCTGCAAATGGTAGCTATGAGTGAAGTTCTGTTTCTAGTACTGTGTCAGGAATTGTGGCAAAACTCTAGAAATAATTGAAATTGTTTAAATCACCTTTATGTTTTAAATTTAGTTTCTTTTGTCTATGCAGCTACTTAGATTTTGAATCCTAAACACAAGTCCCTTCCTATACAGGACTCCTGTTAGATACTGCACTGCTTTAGTGTTCATCCTACAGCAGATTAATTCTGTTGAAAGAAGCAAGAGTTAAGGGTGATGTTTTTTTCCAGGCAATCTTGCCATTCCCTCACATTCCAGGAGCCACATGACATGATGGTACAAATGAGAAACATCCGCCCACACTGAAGATGATGTCTGCCCCAAACACTCTCATCCGCTGACATTTTCGCTGTGACTTATAAATAACTTTTCTTCATCTGGAGAGAGTGCAATAGCTAGACAGTGGAAAAGAGTAAGAAGCATTAAAATAAAAAGCCTAAAGGTAGAGAAAAGACAAAGAAAACATACCTCCTCAACAAGTAATGATAATTAAGCCTCCTAATAATTTATACCAAAACCTTAAGTTAACTTTTGTGAAAGAGCCACCTCTACCACTTCCCTCAATAACCATACAATCCAGCAAGCACCGTGGTACCTGTTAATTTCATTCCTTAAACTTAACCTGTTCTACAAGCAGCTGCCAAGAACACAGATGATCCAAACTGCCTAAAATATCAGATAATCCATATTCTTGCAAACTGAAATTTTTCATTAAAGCATTGTAAAAGAGGCAAAGGTTTTCTTCCAGACAGTCTGCTTACTGCAGTACAACGTGGGTGTCAGTGGTAACGCACTGCGGTTGTGCTTTCTTGGATGTAGTTCTCTTGGACCTTTCTGTTTATGAAGAAATGTCGTGTCATACTCATACCACGCTTGTTATTTTAAAAATCAATTTAAAGGCTGTGTTGTGCCAGGGATTGTGAAATACCGGTAGTCTGCTATCTGAACCAAAACAATAGCATCGGTTTATGGAAAAGACAGATGCAGAAATATCAGCCTACATTCTACCAGCACACATGGTGTTTATTCATATGCTGTGTCAGATAGGATATTGGTGACTTTGCTGCGCTGACACCTGCTGATGCTAGTCAGATTGTCCATCACCAGATGTGTTGTTGCTGTGAGGAAGTGCTGTGTCCTTTCCATGTGCTCGCGACGTTACTACTGAGAAGCACATTTGTTGCTGGATTAGAGCGGACAAGACTGTCATCTGACACCCTCTCCACTGATGCAAATAACTAGGTCCCCAGGGAAGCACCAGCTAGACCTCTCCCGTGCTCCTTAGCTTTTACTGTGTACACAATTTTCTTTTTTCTATTACGCAGAAGAAAAAGACATAAAAGAGTACTGCCATAGGCCTTTCTCACATTCAGACTGAGAAATGAGATGCCACTAGGAGTGCGCACAGGGCTGGCGCCCTGGTGCACCCCAGGCAGGAGCCTCTTCCGAGACAGTTTTTCCTCCACACTGGCCAACTTCTCTCTGCTTCTGAAGTGCAAGTGTCTGTTGTTGCAGATATTCTGTGCAGCACAAACTGAAGTTGCATGTGTGCATGGTGTCATGATAAACAGTGTATTTACTCTCCAAACTTCAGTTAAGGGATTTGGCTCACCCTGTGTCATTGTGCCTGCATCTCTTTTGCCTGTGCATTGCAGTGAGTCTTTGTGTGAAGTAAATATCACTATTTTAAAAGAAGAACTTTACGTCAGTGCATTAAGTACATTCATTTTCTACCTGCTAAGAAGGTAAGAAAGGGAGAAATGGTGTTTTTCTGTTACTTTCCTGTGGCTACCAAAAATGCTGTAGATGATAAGAGAAGCATCTCTGGGTTGGTTGAGTGTGCAGCAACTTTTTGGCTTTGAGGGTATCTCAGAAGTGGTTCTTCCACTAAAAAATATAGTTACTGATATTTGCTTTTAATTTGATACAGCGCTGCTGCACAGAAGTGTTTGTGCCTGGCTTCCTACCAGAACTCCTAAACACAAACTTTTATACAGCTTTCAGTGATGAAGCAGCAGCGTGAACTTGTAGAGAAAAATCTTTAATCCTTTTCGTAGCTGCTTAATCAGACACTTCCTTCAGCTATAGATCAAGGCCTTCCCTTCTGTTAGGGACAATGAGGGTACTTCTAAGCAGTACTGAATTTTTCCACCACTTCCCTGTGTTATTGCTTCCTTATTTGGGCTGCTTATCCTTTTGATAGAGAAGCAAGGAAGCAATTCTGCTCCAGTTTTCTCCCATCATAAATCTCAGATTACTTAAACAGCAGTAATTCATTGTTTAACAGTTTTTCTCAAGTAATTAAATATAAAAGGTGATATCTTGCACGATAATGGAAGTTCATCATTAGCCTGATAGAACCAAACATTTTTAAGGCTCGATCTTGTTTATACTGTATATTAAGTTCAGTTCTGAACAATGGAAAGTAAGGCACTGTCCAAATAAGGTTTAATTTTGAGGCTATCCTTGAAAATTCCATGTGTTGTGAAGATAAATTGTGTAGCAAATATATGAAAAAAAAAAGTCTTTACTTATTAATTTTTGATAACTTTTATCAGAATAATCAAAACAAAATAACAAAGAAAATAACAAAAGTCCAATAACAATTTATCTTGGAAGATCGTAAGAAATAATTGTTGAATTTTGGATGCATCATTGAGTCTAAAAATATTAAAAATACAGTATGGAGAGTATGTAAACACTCTGCTAGCATGGGCAGAAACGTTCCTATCCTTAAATAATTGTTTTCTTTATTCATTCTATTACAAACGCTGGGGGAGTGCTGATTTAAACGTGGGGCCCCCGACATAAAGCACTGGATATAAAATGCATGAGCATTTCTTCAGAGCAGCTTAGCTGAAGTTTATCATGACCATTCAGCTATTGCCTAGCAACTTGTGAAGGCCATCAAAGAGTTCTTTGTCCATTGCTCTGGCAAAAACATTTCCTCACAGATATCCTTATCACTATTAAAATCAGCACAAAAACTGATCAAAACCAATTTTGTTGCATATGAAGTTAATACTCGCTTAATTTTGCAGCAATTGTAAGCCTGCTGATACCAGTGTTGTGAAAGCTGAGTCTAATCTTGTTTCCAACTTCTTGTAAAAGTGTTGTTTTCTTCTCCTTCATTTCTAGCTTTTCTGTAAAAACACAGCATGTAAAGCATCAGATTTTGTGAAATTCTCATTTTACTTTTCAACTTTTAATATTTCTGACCTATTCTTTCTTTCTTTCTATTATTTCTTTCTAAAATATTTATATTTAATATTGTGAAAATGTGAAACTCAGTTTCCCATTTATCTTGTCTTACTTATCTAATTATGAGCTATTGAGTGAGGCTTAAAAATATTTTTATTAACAGAAAGGTAGTAAGTCACTGAATCAATTTCTATTTCCTCTCTGCTACTTATCATTCTTAACACTCTTGGACACAGAAGTGCAATTGATTTTGTTTATGATCAGCAGCAAATATAATAAAATTGCTTTTATAGTGAAATAGACGTCATAATCAGCACTCTTTCAGTACACTGAATTGTCATAACTGTTATTCAGTGATGTGCTTTTGCTGAGCAGGGGGATTTCATATCGACCACCTCCTCGTATGTGCTGAAAAGGGGGAACAAGAGGTAAATTTTAGTTTCCCAAATGGATAATTTTCCCTGATGTGTACTGGAGAAACTTGTTTCTTTATTTTTAATAGTGCTGCTTTGCTCTTGTAAGTCTTGCGGATCTGAGGAGGATGTATCCCTCGTCTTTTCTGTCCCAGAATGTCCAGTATCACTCTTTGACACCATGCTGTCATAAAGCATCCTCTGTGCACCGATCAAGACGATATAATTGAGCCTGGTGTTATTGTATGTCACTGGTCTACATAACTGCACATAATGCACTCTGGTAACTCTTGGCAACCACTGACTTGTTAACAGTGACCATTGTACACTGAACACCACTGAAACTCATTAGGACTCCGTGAAAAATGTCTTTTCTCTATTGGGGTTTGCTGAGCAGAGCTCTGTATGATATGACAGATAACACTCAAGTGAACAGAATGTCAGGCTCAGCTCTGAAAGCTCCTGCATGTGTCAGCTTGTGCTTTCACAGACACAAACCCAAGTTTTCAATTTGAAAGCCTCAAGCAGAGAAGTCCTAAGTGCCTGAAATAAGTGGTCTTGTTTCTAAAAAATGCAGTGATCTCATCCTGCTTGTGTGCATCAGCATCTCTCAGAATCAAACCCCTCTTTTATATCTGTTCATACACAAGTAGAGACTTCTATGAAAAAGCTGACCCAGATGCTGAGGAGCCAGCTTATCTCTCTGGCTCTCAAATGTAGTAGATAAAACCAGCAGAATGGCATTGCCTGTGCAAGCAAAAATGAAAAAGTTAGTCGTGGTGGAAGAGGGTTTCATTTTGGGGGGTTCCTTTCATTTGTCAGGTTGGTACTAACCAAATAATCATTGGGCTTTGCTGTTCTACTGTCTCATGCTGGCTTCTAAAAATCAAGTATTTTCTCTCTTGCTAGCGGCAATTGGTGCAATCTGTTGAGCCACATATTTGATTATTCAAACTGTTGATTGTCTTGCAAAGAAACAATTTGAGCGTCTGCAGCTTCACCTTTCCTCTAATTAGAGAGTTTGTCTTTGGATGTAGGCAGCATTACACAGCCCATGTCGTGGGGGTTGTGGAATTACCTCTGTGTCTGCCCTGTGCATAAACAGTGTAATTATTTTTCAGTGTTGCTTCAAACACTGCATTTTGCTCTCCAGACTTAAAAGATTTTTTCTTGTCATATGTGAAACTGTTTTTGCTTTATTAGAACTCTGGCAGCCCACGGACCTGTGATGTATTTTTCTGGAAGTACTTACACAGCAAGACATACTTGTGGTTGGATGTTGTCCACTTTTCCCTTAGCTTCGGGCTTCGTTCAGTAGAGGCGCTACAATAATACTTAATTGTTAATGCAAAGTACTGTAGACACAACACGGTCTGAGTTCCACAGCGGTGCTGCCTGCTGGCATGTAGCATGCAGCTTACTTTCTGAAGGCAGACAGCGTTAGAAGGAACTAGGAGAGTTATATTTAATGTTTCTGTGCTGCAACAGGAAAAAAAAAGTGATGAAGTGTGATTATAATGAGCGGTTTGCGTTACGGCATATGTATGGGGGTTCACACTGGTGAACTTCTAATCAATTTTATGCCAGAAGTGGTTAGACAAAACGACTGACTGACCAGCATCCTTAACAGTGCTGCAGCTAAGCATTTTGGAATGCTCACGTGTTGTGTTTTGAAACTCTTTGTGTGCACTACATTTTTCCATTTGGTATGAGGCTTAGCGGTAATCAGCTCACTACTAATTAGAAATCATTCTGTGTTCTGAAGCCCATTATTACACAGAATTATCTCAGACCTTAAGAATTTTTACATTCAGGGGGAAAAGCTACTGCAGTGCCTTTTGTCATGCATTTGCCTAACACTAAATTTGAAAATAAGCTTTTGCTGTTTTAAAGCAGCCATTGTGGAAGAAGCAAAAGCCTTTATTTTGTTGCGTTTGAATTACTTTCTACTTTCATTTCTCTATTGATACAATCGGTGAAAGTGAGAGGAAAAAAAGAATTTTTATCCTGGAAAATGATTGAGCTCTTTATAATACCGAGGGACTTGCATTTGTCTTTTTAGGAGATCTTAAATTGCTAGTGGCAAGGAAGCCTGAAGGTAGCATCCCATGGAGCTCTTATTTTCCATGTGAACTGGCTATGGAAGTACTTGTTACAGAGCTCAGGATCAGCTTTTAAGTGTATCTAAAATTTTCTACTGCTAGAATGTAAAAGAAACTTACTATTCAGGGGCCTGGGGAATGTAGGCACAGAGATTCATGTCTACCTTATTCTTGTTCTATTCTCCTGACATTAGTGATATTTTCATGAACAGTTTTTGTTGTCACTGTTTTGAAAAATGAGTCCTCTGAGAACCAAAAGTTTAAAATAACTGTGCAGAAAGCCTCTTTATGTTTTCGTGCTGACGATCTTGCTTATGGTTGCAGGTATACACTGTGACAGTGTGTGCGCTGAGGGACAGTGGGGACCAAATTGCTCACTGTCTTGTTACTGCAAAAATGGGGCATCATGCTCTCCAGATGATGGAATCTGTGAGTGTGCACCAGGATACCGAGGCACCACCTGTCAGAGAAGTAAGGACAAAGTAAAACTTTCTATAAACAAAACTGTATTGAAACATGGAATGAGTAAGATATAATACCTCATTTGTTTTGTTAAGTGCACTAGGAAATACAGTGCAACAGTCCTTAATGGGGTCTTTCAATTGGATGCACAGAAGGGTTATCTGAAGTCAACAAATCTATCCAAATAGAACTTCTTTTTGTGGTGTAACTGACACACCAGATGACTGTGCTGCCATTTAACAAAATCTGGTTAGGCTGGAGAGTTAGGCAGACAGGAGTCTGAGGAGATTCATCAACAAGAGGCCTGGGGTCCTGCACATGTGGATGAATAATCTCACACATCTGTGTCGATTCAGGGCTGAACTGCTGAAGAGGAGCTCTGCAGAAAAGGACCTGGGTGTCTCGGTGGACAGTAAGTTGGTCATGTGCCAGCAGTGTGCATTTGTGGCCAAGAACACTGATGGTATCCTGGGCTGCATTAAAAAGAGCCCCTCCTACTCTGCCCTGGTGAGGCCACATCAAGAGTACTATGTCCAGTTCTGGGCTCCCCAGTTCAACAAAGAAAGGGAAATTATAGAGAGAATCCAGTGGAGGGCCACGAAGATGGTTAGGAGCCTCAAGCATCTCCCATATGAGGAAAGACTGAGAGCCCTGTGACTTTTCAGCCTGGAGAAGAGAGGATGAAAGAGGATCTATCAGTGTTTATATATATATATATATATAATGAGCAGGTGTCAAATGGATGGGGTCAAACTCTTTTCAGTAGTATGCAAAAATAGAACAAGGGCAACAGGCACAAACTGAAACATAGCGTGTTTCATACAACCGTATGAAAGAACTTCATTACTGTTAGGGTGGCATAGCACTGCAGCAGGCTGCCCAGAGAGGTTATGGAGTCTCCTTCTCTGGAGATATTCAAGACCTGCCTGGATCCTTTCCTGTGCAACCTGCTGCAGGGAGTCTGCCCTAGCAGGGCATTGGACTTGATGATCTCCAGAGGTCTTTACCAACACTTGTAAATCTGTGATAACAATTTTATTCATGTTTTGTGCAGTGACATTGTTATGTTCATGGCTTTTTGAGAAATAAATTAGGTAGGAGACTCAGCTCTAAGGTCAACATTTTCAAATGCAATTGACAATTATTAATTTTATAATGCATATTTTGGCAGGTAAATAAAACATCTGTGAGTTTCAGAAGCTCAAAACTTTAGCTTTCCACTGAATCTGGTAGGAATCATTAGCGTATCTACTGCCTTTTTAGGCTTTCATTTTGAAGCAGTGGTAAATGGCCAACGGCATCAGACATAAGTAAAGGATACCATAGATACACATATTTGCAATTGAAAAATATGCTCCTATAAAATTTGAATGCTCCAGGAGAAGAGATGCAGATAGAATGAGGCAATTCATACTGATACAGGAAGGCAAAAATATGACATACAAGTATCTGCCCCCAGGAAAATCTGTGACAGTTCTCTAGCAGCTTAGCTTTCTTTACATAGTTGTAGTTTACATAGTTTACATAGTTGTAGTTCTATATGAAAGGTGCTCAGAGCAGAGAAATGCAAGTCCTCTGCAAATGGAAATAGCTGTACTTTGACAGGGTCGAAAAGCAGGGGAAATAAGGCCAAGGTGTGATGCTGCTAGGGCCTCTCCGGAAGAGGTGGAAGAGAAAGAAGGTGTCATGAAGTTAGAATTACCAGAAGATAGGAGAATCAGAAGAAGATGAACAGTCCACAAATGGCAAGATTTCACACTGAAGAATGTTTGCCTTTGATACCATCAAATCCCACATCAGGAGAGCATTAGTGTTCCTTAAGGATTTCTCACTAAGCTCAGTAATTATTCTCACTATCTAATCTGTAGAGACCTTACAGTTAATCAGATAACCCAAAGGTAGAGTAAATATAAGACTACTTGTATGTATATGAGGTATTCCTCGTGTTTTGGAACTATGCCTAAAACCAGGACAAACAGCTTCCATGCCTCTGGTGGCCCCCAGAGCCCTTCTCTGATGCATGGTCTGAAGGCTGGAAAGACAAAGGTCATGTGGATAATTTGGACTCCAATCAGAAAGTGCCTTTTCAGTAAACAGGAAGACCATTTGGCTCTGTTCCACTTGGAAAAGTCAATCTCTCGGGAGAGATCTGGCCACATAACTTGTATCAAGTGTATAACTGAAAGACTTGAATGAATCTGGAATATTGAAAAGGTTCCGAGTTTTTGTCAGGGCTGATTGCTGCCGTGCAACAGCTATTTCTTTTGATGAATCACATAATAGTTTACCAGGAAAAAAAAAAAAAAAAAGGTGAGAAGGAATTAGAGCAACCAAGGAAACAATTTTATGCAAAAGTCTTTTTTATTTTTCTTTGTTTTTCTCTTTTAAAATAAATTTTAAGTGCTTTTGGCTAGAGAATTAATAAAACTCTGTATTTCTAATAGCAAGGTCTTTTAGAATTAGCTGATGTGCAGTTTGTCAGTACCATTTAAAGACTACAATGAGTAACTAAGTGAAAGGATGGCCAGAAAACATTTGCACATTTTTCTCAGTGAAGTGATGGCAATTTGTCTATCAAGTTAGGAAACATGGAAGTCAAGGTTTAAGATGATTGTACTCATCTGTTGATAAAACTAAATCTGTTTTTAAAGTTCTTCAAGTATACATTAAAGGATATTCACATTCATGTATGTAGAGAACATATCACATATGGACAAATATGTATACATATGAAGTACACATGCATTTCAAACATAACACAAGTGAGATGTGGCCTGACAAGTTACAGAATGTTAAATACGTAGTTACTGATTAGAACACAGTAAGCTCCTGAGAAAGATGAGAAAATCTTACATGAAGGCACAGCGCTGAGCTGTATGAATACTAACAACCACTGCTGCAACCCTTGCATATTTAGAAAGCAGAGCTAATTGGTAGTTAGGAACAAGTGCACTGAAGAACTCTTGTAGAAAGTGCAGGAATCAATGATAGTTTGTCCTTTCTCATTCCAGTTTGTTCCCCTGGGTTTTATGGACACCGGTGCAGCCAGACATGCCCACAGTGTGTACACAGCAGTGGCCCCTGCCACCACATTACTGGATTATGTGACTGTTTACCTGGATTTACTGGAGCCCTGTGTAATGAAGGTACAACCTATAGTAAAGACTCTGTGGGATACAGAGACCAAGCACTGTAATAATTCTCATTCTGTCTACTGAAAGTATAAGGACAAAAATGCTACATGCAGCGGTATGTGCAGTTTATAAATGTAGAATCTTAAGCAGTTTTTAAGCTCTTTAAAATTTGATCCTTAAGTACAAAAAAATACCTTTCTCCAGAACAGTACCATATTCTTATATACAGTATTTGAATAACAAGTATGTATTATGGGCTTATCAGATTTCGTAACGTGCCACTGTACTATTGTACTACGAATAACTTTACTTAATCCAAACATAAATTCATTATTCTTGAACTAATAAAAATATATTATGCTGATTATTCAGTAATTCTAATACTGAAATTTGTTCTCAGTATGCCCCAGTGGCAGATTTGGCAAGAACTGCATTGGAATATGCACCTGCACGAATAATGGAACATGCAACCCTATCGACAGATCCTGTCAGTGTTATCCTGGGTGGATTGGTAGTGACTGCTCTCAGCGTAAGGATCAGCATTTTTCCCTTTATTTTTAATTAAAGATTTATCTGTGTAAATTAATTAAAAGTTTATCTGTGCAAATCCTCTATTTGTTGCTAAACAAATACCATGTAAGCCAGAAATTAGGATTTTGTGGTGTATTAGGGAGAGATGCTAAAGTTTTCTGTGTTGCATTTGCATGCAATTGGAGAATCCACTTGCTGCCCAAAGAGGAGCTGTAGAAAAAATATATCAGAGTTGTCTCAGAAAGGCAGTGTTAAAAGGTAAGTGGCAATGCTCACATGTTGTAGCAACGGCAACTCTAACTGAATTCATTAAGAAAATTCCTTGGTGTGAGTGGTCAAGCACAGCAACAACCCAGAGAGGCTCCGAAGTCCTCACCCTGAAAGAGTCTGTGAAATTCTCATTGCTGAAAATCGTTAGAGTATGATATTGCATTTGATGATGCCAAAGGTCTCTTCCAACATAACACAGTCTATGACCAGATTAATCTTGATTGGATAGAGGGTTCATAAGCTATTTCCTTGTCTGTGCAACTATTAGCCGTGTCCCAGTAGTGTTGTGTACATCTCATGGTTTATATCCTTAGAACAGCCATATGAATATCTGTGGTATTTAAAACAACCAAACAACAACAACAAAAACCCCTAAAACCGACAACAAACTAGCATTGCATAGACAGCTAAAAGCAAGGCTTAGAACAAAGCCAACATTTTTTCTGTCAAGTTTGTATACTTGTCAGTGGGAATGTCCTGGTTCCTCTTCAGATGAAGAATTCTTCTTCATGCTACCAATAAATCTTCTACTGTGATTTACTAAGTACTTTTCATTAGGTATTTTATTTCTCCCTTTATAAATATGTTTGAAAGATAAGCATTTTTAGCATCGTTCTATCTTACTTTATCTGGATATAGTCTTGTTACGTTAAAATCAGTGAAGACTTGGTTACCCGCTTTAAAAGAAGAGCTGGACCCTAATTTTCTTACGCTTCATTGAGTTATGTTATTAAATAACTAGGCATTCTTCAGATGCCTTACTTGATCTATGCAAACCACTAATGACAAGAAAGTAATATCTGAAGCAAAATTCTGAGAGGAACAATAGCTTATTCTGTCAGGTACCAAAATCCAGAGTCTGCAACACATGCATGCAAAAATTTCAATCAAACAATTTTTTTATGAAGAAAAGAAACTGTGTAGGACTTCAGTATATCAACATTTAAAAGATACTGTGCTGGGATTTCCAGGGAAGTGTGTTCCTAATAGTATGCCTCATAGATTTACAGCATTCTTGGTTTGATTGGCCTAAATTAGCTATATCTGTACCAGAACACCTTTGCTGGTTAAATTCTGAGAAGAGTTTAGCATCTACAACTCAGTACGATACCAAAATAAATGTGGGGCCCAAAACTGTGGAAGACAGTAGCAAGACACCTCTGTTTTTTATTGTAAAATAAGTAGGTACTTGGTAGAGTGTCCAAAATGAGGATATTTAGGAGATAGAGATGTACTTACTGAGTCAGTAGCAAGAAAATGGTCTTAGCAGTATGCGTGGATGTGACTGTTGAGGCTGGGCTCATGGACTAAGACAGAGGCTTTGTATGAAAGCCTTTCACTCACATGTAAAATAATCATTTCATTAATTTCTTTTGGAATTAGTGAATTTTTTCTAACTTCTAACCTTGCACCTGTGTGTGATTTAAGTTCTTTCTTGGGTGACCACAAATTTCAGATGATCAACGATCATAAAATAGGTCAACAAGCATATGTTGTTCTTAGAACACCCTTTACTTTTAGTAATGTTCTGACATGAAGAAAATTTTCTTCTCTGCTATCTCAATAGTCACTGGCATTTTTTAATCACTTCATTATTTTAATAGCAGTACCTAGTATCAAATTCATTCATCATAACATTTTCAAAACAATCAGCAAAACTGTATCGATTGATAGAAATATAAAAGCAGCTCTCCAGCCATGAGTACTGAAGACTTTTGTCACTTGTGACTGATTACTTGCTCTGCATTTTTTCAGCTTGCCCACCTTCTCACTGGGGACCAAACTGCATCCACACATGCAACTGCCATAATGGAGCTTACTGCAGTGCCTACGATGGAGAGTGCAAATGCACCCCAGGATGGACTGGCCTTTACTGTACACAACGTAAGTATCCTAACTGTCTGTTCACAGTCTTATAGGTCTAAAAATCAGTGGCAGAATTTCCTTCAGTACTTTCACACTTTATTCCTCAGTTTATCCACCTGCTGCTGAACCTTTTTGACTCAGAAATGCAATCTGTATGGTTGCAGGGGAAGCCCCTATAAAAGCAGTGGCAGAGTGCCATTGCATTTGGGCTCTCTTTAAGGCCTTCTTCAGAGCAAACAATATTTGGCCACAGGCAGATATCCCAGTGTAAGAGTCTGTCATGTGCACGTGCACATTCTGACATTCGGATGCTACTACTACAGATGCATGTTTATGGCTGCAGACCATAGCATGGTTGCTATTAGCTGTACGAGTGTTCCTTATCAGGCAGGGTCATGGCTTCATGTTAATTGTTTCCCTCTCCATAACCTCCCTAATAAATATTTTAACTTTGGAGATGCAACAGTTAACATAACAACATAGCACAATTGCTGGCAGAAGCCATGATAGTAGCTTCTGACTTATCTTTGGCTGTGATAGATGTCTTTGCAGATGCAGTTACAAGCAGTGCAGTCACTGAGTCTAGTTGAGTGGCACAGACTATCTGCTTGATAACATTTCATATGACATTTGGGAGGGAAACATTAGATATCAATAAAGTCATCTTCTTTATCATTAATAGTTATATCTATGGCTTCAGGCTGATTTATCTTCAATACAGGCACCCCTACTTTCTGCAATCTGGGCAAAACCGTTATTTTTAAACTAAGGACTGTTTTCCATTCAGTGTCTAAATGCATGTTTTTCATTAAATCAGAAATTACGTTTTTCCGCAGAATAACTTCATAGTGGCAGGAAGGAACACATGCATGATAGTGCCATATGGATGCAGCTCTGGAAGGCGTTCAGTTTTGGTTCATTGTCAGCTATCGTGGTTATTTTGCTTCCTGCTGGTGAATAATGATCTCTTAGCAGCGATATGTCTTTGTCACATTGAAATGATATCTTTGTGAGGAGCTGTGTTACAATATGTTATTATTTTTATTCTTGTATGCTTCAACATCAGCTGTGAACACTGGATAACGTGTCCAAAGGTTCACTCATCACTAAACAGACTCCCTTTTCTGGTTCACAAAGTTCCCTCTTTCTCCTTAAAGCATGAAGTCCTTCTTGCTACCTTTTTCTGATTGTCTGCTATTTTCACAATTTGCAATCTCATTTTTATGTACTTGCTGCCCAGTATTTTAAATCCCTTAAAACAGGGCAGGTCTTCACCCGTTGTGTTTACAGATAGTCACATTGAAATGACTTTTCAATAATCGGAATATTTGAATTTTATTTCTGGAGCACCCATCACTCCTTTTTCTCTCCCTCTCCTTGTATTGCAGGATGTCCCCTTGGATTTTATGGGAAGGACTGTGCACTGATATGCCAGTGCAAGAACGGAGCCGACTGCGACCACATCAGTGGGCAGTGCACCTGCCGCACAGGATTCATGGGGAAGCACTGTGAGCAGAGTGAGTAGGAGCCCCGGTTTGTCTTAATAAAAAATACCAAACCCTGAGGCTGAGCTTCTCTTTTAGCTGGCGTTGTGACGCAATCTCTTGGCTTCAGTGAGCATTTTAAGTGGGCAGGAGCTTTGGGAGTCAGACCTGGGCTTTTTCTAAATAGATAAATCGCAGAATTAATACCTATTAAGACTGATTATGATAGTGGTGCTTGTTTCTTTCAATTTGTAGCAATATTTGAGAGGCATCTGTAATACATAATGCATAATTTAAAAAACTGACAGTTCTGAATGTAAAAGTAACAAATGAATCTGAGTGATAGTCATTAGCATAAAGCACAGTGAAAATTATTAGGTGGAAAACTAAAGATAAGTAGTACCACATAAATCCTAGTGGATACAGTTAATCTTTGCAATGTGTCTTTACACTCAAGTGGATTATAAAAGCATAACAAATGGTATTTTATTTTCTTACATGCGTGATTCTTTACCTGAGAAAATTAAGATTAACACCACTGACATCAACTGTAGTATAATGTTGTGCAACATTAAAAGAATAATCAAGTTCATAAGCACAGAACTCTATCAATCTAGCTCTAGCTAATGTAACAGAGTGAGCGGCGGTCCAATATTTCAGGCATTATTGCAATGCAAAGCAACCCATTGAACACAAGTCCTACATATGCTTATTTTACTTAATTACTGTTTGGAAGGTTTAAATTTGTGCTTGGGATCAGCACAGTGCACAGGAGTTTCTGATAGGTGAAGGAGAGTAATTATCTTCAACACCTGTCACACTTGGCACTACTGTAACTGAAAGGAGAGGAGGTTACTATGTGCTGAACTATAGACACACTTAATTCCCTCAGCAGTAAGCCTAGTTCCAGCTTCAAGAAGTGTTATGTAGACAAGGACAGCTGTGGTAGATCTGCTAAAAACAAGGAAAGAAAAACACAACTACAATAAGATATGAAAATTTTGGAAGTGTGTTTATTTCAGTGAAATAATAACTGGCACTGTGTAATTATTAGTTATTTAAACCTTATTCTACTTTGATGATGTAAGATGTTTCACTTCAAAAGCAGAGTAATGTTTGGGAAAAGATAAAGATTTTAAGAACATCATAAGTGTCATCATATCAAAATGTTATTTTGAATCTTATAAAAATATTATTTGAATACTTTGGCAAGCCTGCCAGTATTACAGTGTTTTGTAGATTTTATATTTATCCCATAATTTGGTAATAATGATTATATTAATTTTTCAGCAGTATTAAATTACATGTTCTTACATTTCTGAATTGGAACTTCAGTTTTAAAAACTGACTTTTCATTTCAGTTCAGCCATTGAGTTCACTAGTTCTAATCTGCCCAGGGAGGTGGTGGAGTCTCCTTCTCTGGAGATGTTCAAGACCTGCCTGGATGCCGACCTGTGCGACCTGCTGTAGGGAACCTGCTTTGGCAGGGGGTTGGACTCGATGATCTCTGGAGGTCCCTTCCAACCCCTACAATTCTGTGATTCTGTGAATGTAATCAAGTGAAAGAGAAGGTATATTGAACATGAAATTACACGTTTATCTGCATTTATCAAGACTGCAAGAAGGTTCTCTGGCATCTATATCCCCATGAATTATTATAAACCAGGAATAGATTATCTTAAAAAGACGAACAAATTAATGCCTTTACAAAATTCCTGAGAGACTGAGAAAGTTGAGTCCCAGAAGGAGGAATACTGCCCTTCCTGAAACCATCAGTACTACATTAATATAACAATCAACCTGTAACAGAGATGGGCATACAAAAGAAGTAATTATTATCAGTGTATGATAATTTAAATGCAGTTTCTTTCTCCCTCTAAATATGCGCATATGTATACATGCACAGACAAATGCACAGAGGTCCTCTTAAGGAAATCTTTCTAGTGTATGTGTACCACTGGTAAGACATTGCCATCTGCTGGCCATATACACAGACATACATGGTCAGACAGAAGCAACTGGTAGCAGGTACAGTGCTAGGTCTGTAATGTACCACTAGGTACAGTGCTGTAGGTCTGTTACACTGAAACATTCCAGAAGCACTAACTACATCTGCTTTTTCTTTGTGCTTGTGTCATCTCATTTTGTACAGAATGCCCTCAAGGTACATATGGATATGGATGTCGGCAGATATGTGACTGTCTGAACAACTCAACCTGTGACCACATCACGGGAACGTGTTACTGTAGCCCAGGCTGGAAGGGAGCCAGGTGTGATCAAGGTAGAGCCTAGATGTAGTCAAATTACTATAACTGTTTGCTATAAAACTTAGTCAACCTACTAGATGCCATTTATTGCCATTAAATTATTTTTATGTTCAGTATGTTTCAGTAGTCTGCTAGTGAATTATATATATTTAATGGATTTGTAAGTATTAGATATCTCAGGGATAGTTTATTGGATCAAAGAACTCAGGTGAAGATTGCATGAATGTTTTACAGTGCTGCACTGTCCAAAGCTGCTAGTAGAGCATATATTACTCTGTACTTTTGCCTACAAGATGTTCTCACTTTTTCAGCTCTTTCTGTGAATCATAAAGTCATAGCAATGGCTTGTGTTGGATGGGATCTCAAAGATCATCAACTCCTCTGTCACAGGGAGGATTGCCAGTTGCTAGCATCTACTAGACCAGGCTGCCTAGGGCCCCATCCAAACTTAAACACCTCCAGGGACGGGGCATCCACAACCTGCCTAGACAGCCTGTTGCAGTACTTTACCACTCTCAGTACATTTAATCCAAGCCTCCCCTCCTTCAGTTTAAAACAACTCCCCCTTGTCCTGTCACTATCTACCCATGTAAAAAGCTGATTTTCCTCATGTTTACAAACTCCCTTTAAATACTGGAAGGCCACAGTGAGATCTCCCCACAGACTTCTCTTCTCTGACCTGAACAAGCCCAGTTCATTCACCCTGTCTTCCTAAGAGAGGAATTCCGGCCCTTGGATCATCTCTGTGGCCCTCCTCTGGACTTTCTCCAAAAAGATGAATGCTTGGCCTGAAGGCTAAGGTTGTTTTTGCATTGGTTTTGGATGTCGCTCTATTTTGGCATTATAAAATACAGTTAAAATTATCAGATACAGAAGTGAAATACCATCTTCTGCTCCTGACACATAAGCCTCTGAATTTATGCAATATATTTTCATTTCTATTTGTATTTCAGCTGGCGTAATTATAGTAGGAAACCTGAACAGTTTAAGCCGTACCAGTACTGCCATCCCTGCTGACTCCTACCAGATAGGGGCTATAGCAGGCATCATCATTCTTGTCCTGATTGTGCTGTTCCTGCTAGTGCTGTTCATCATTTACAGACATAAGCAAAAAGGGAAAGAAACAAATATGCCTGCAGTGACCTATACTCCGGCAATGAGGGTCATCAATGCAGATTACACCATTTCAGGTAAATGAGATTTGGAATAGATTTTTCCCTCTGCCTCTTGACTTTGAGTTTTCAGCCAAGTTCTGAAGAGGTTCTGCTCTTAAAAGGGCTTCAATGTGCCTCTCATCTTTTTCCATCAGTGAGGGCTGCAGTGAGCAGGAAACTTTTTGTTCCTATAGAGTGTCTGAAAGTCTGCCTTGGAAGCCTACCTCGAAAGACAGACTGGGGAGGGTTTCCTCTTTTGGGAAGAGGAAGACTGCAATTCACTGCTCCCTATGGCCCTTTGCCAGCAGAACAGTGCCTAGGATGACATGCTGGTGGTGAACCAGAACACCGGAATACTGGAATGCAGTTGTAGGCTAGTGAGACCTTCCTGCTGCTGCCAGAGATGGGGTTCAGAGGGAGCATGCTCCAGCATCTGCAGCCATTTAATTTGTTGTGTATCACAGTCTTCGAATCTGTGCATTTAGTGCTAGAAAGCTGGCATTCATTGGTAAAATATGTTAATTGCTGAATAAAGGATCACGTGACCTATACCTTGGTTTACTGTATTATGTTTTTCTGTGTTAACCAGTGGAAGTATTGGTTTTACTATTCCTCTGTGCCTAGCTTTAAACAGACTTGGAAAGTGTGAGAAAAGATGGTTTCTGCTGAGACATTACATTTGATGCCAGCAGATAGAATGTGGAAAGACTGCTGTAGCTAGCTGTGGTTCTGTAAAAGGCAGAGAACAGAGCTGCTCAAGTCTGAGACAGATGAAGAGAAGGAGCAATGCTTCTGAAATAGAATGGAAGTTTTCAAGCTATGAAAATCCACATAATTTGGCATTAAATGGATAAATGATAATGCAGGCAGTGCTTTTGCAAATAACTGTAAAGGAAATTGGCAAATAAAGAAGCTAGCAGAAGCAATTGCTAGAGTAGAGAAGGATGTACCACCACAGGTAATGGTAGAGTATAAGCGCAAAAAAAAAAAAAAGTTGCTGTAAAGTTTAGGGTAGAAGTGTCCATAATTAGAACAGTGCCATGATTACAGCTGCAAAAGACAGCAGGGGACCACATCTGAAAGACAGGTCAGCTCGTGACATTTGAGAATGCTCTTTGGGGAAGGAAGGACACAGCTGGTCTCTTACTGCCCTGTATCTCATTTATTCAGAGGTATGCCACATTTTTATTCAAGAAATGCTAGACCAGTTTCTGAAATCAGTGCAGCACTATGAAAAATGAGAAAGATACGATGCTTTATATTAAGTTGTTCGTTTTTCTTTTCCTTTTCAGAAACCATCCCTCATAGTAATGGTGGAAATGCTAACAGTCACTATTTCTCTAACCCCAGTTATCACACCCTAACACAGTGCACTACACCACCTCACGTCAACAACATGGACAGACTGACACTGGCAAAGGTAAAGCAGAAAAATTCTATGTAGGTTAGCCACTGAATTATGTAACTGCATTCCTTGTGTCTCTCATTGGATTTATTTTGCTTTCCTTGATTATTACCTGGTAGAATTCAGCAACCCCCACATTAGTTTCAGGTTCCATCATCTATCTTTCTTTGAAATAGGCAAAAAACAATCAGCTATTTGTGAACCTTAAAAATATGGAACCTGGAAAGCGAGGCACCATCATGGATTACACTGGAACACTGCCTGCTGATTGGAAACACGGTGGCTACCTCAATGAGCTTGGTAAGAAGAGAAAGGAAGAGAAAATATTAGTATGGGATAGAAAGCAGAAATTTTCTTCGACGTAGAAAGTGTTCTTCAATCTCTAGTATCAGAACTATCTGATTTGTGACACTACTAAATCTGTTTGTTATGCCAGGCTTGTCAGATTGTGTAAGGTTCAGGGTTGTGGGTTTGTCCTTCCTTTAAGCAATACCCTCAAAGATGAAAAAAGTTACTTATGAAGAACAGTCAATCAGGCTGATGTCCTGTGCAGATATGGTATGCAAAATATCTCTTTTTTTTACTATTAAAAAAATTATTAATAATTAGTGCCATAATACAAGGGTATTTTACAATAGGAGTAATCTTTGGCAAAATTTCAGATTCTTGATATATAAATTTGCATGTATATATATATATATATGCCCACCATACAGAATCAATGCTTTAAAAAAGGTTTCTCACCATGTGAGCTTCCTATGCAAATTCTAGGAACATCATCTAAGTTAAGCCTCCTGTTAGCCAAAACCCAGGGCATCTTCTTCTTTTTAAGAAGAAAAATTCCCAAGAACTGCTGAGTTATGGCATCTTTTATGCTGTCTCTTAGCATCTTTTCATTCTTTCCCATTCTCCTAGATTTCATTGATCATGATCTCTGACCAGTAAAAATTTTGTAAGGGATTTTCAGTGCCAGTATAATTTAGAGTACCACTTCTGGTAGAGTACCTTCATTTCTGGTCCTTAGTAGTATTCAATTCTGGGAATCAGATCAATAGTGTGGAACCATAATTCTTCCTCCTGATCATTCGTGATACTTTTCATACCATAACCGAGTCTCAGACCTGGATTTTAGAAAAGGTTTTCAGTTGTAATTTTGCTCACCTTTACATTTGCTTAGTTAAGAGTGTTTGTGCTAGCACACTAAGCTATGTTCAACCTACTGCAGTGTACCATCAGTAATATACTGAGGACTGGAGGATGGGGTGAGTAGCTTGGGTAACTGCAGGCTGGTGACCAGAACATTAGTCTTAGCAAAAACAGCTAAAATGAGAACTAATTAGTAAAATATGGGATAGGAATACAAGGTATTGTTTAAAGATTTCTCAAATAGTGTATTTCCATTCTTCAAAACTATTACTTTTGTTTATAGAGATACTATATAGGTGATTTGGGGCTTGTAAACTTTCTAGCGTAGAAAAGAAGGCTGTGAATGGACTGGTTAAGTGTCAGGTCTTGGAAGAGAGTTGTCAGTCTTTGCTGACCATTGATATCTATTATTAAGATTAATACTGAGATAAGTCTGCTTCAAGTAGAACGTGGCAAAGCTGCAGACCTAGACACTACAAGTTTAGGCCATTCCCCCAGGTCAAGGAACTGTAACAAGATGACCTTGGACAATGCAGTGGGAGTGATTAACCTTGGAATTGTAATACTGAGAATTTGGAGTGAAAGTTCCATGCTCTTAGGGTTTCTGGTGGAGACGGAGTGTTAGTGCAGTAGGTATCGTATACCAAAACAAAAAATGTATTTAATCAAACAGTAATTACTAGGTTCACTGAGGAGTAGCTGCAGGAAATGTCATGGCCTGTGTCATATGTGATGTCCAAGTGATAATTTAATAGTCTCTTATGACCTTCCTTATTCAGGGAACTACTGAAAGAATGCAAGCAAATTGTAACAAGCATTTGTAATCCTTTGACTGGGCTTTTTCACAGTGCTTATAAGAGAATATTTCTGCTAAGCTAGAAATTAATCTCAAAGCTAATTTTAAAGCTGTAGAAGCTGTTATATAATCACTTTTATTTTAAATCTATTATGTTTTTTATATCATTTTTCTCAGGAGCTTTTGGACTTGATAGGGGATATTTGGGAAAATCTCTGAAAGGTGAGGTTTATTTTCTGATGCTTCTAGATGAAATGACATTGATATTCAGTTAACTCTTCTAAATTGTCTTTGGTTACAAGCCTGCAGCACCACAGTCTTCATGCTTACTGCAGGCATTTGGAAAGCTTCTCAAAGTAAATCTGAAACATGCTGAAACATGCTGCTGCCCTGTGCTCCCAGCACCTGCTATCACCAAAGTGCTACAGGAGCTGGCAGCAGACAGCACCTGCCACAGCACTGGGACACTTACAAAATTCCTGCACTATCATAGGGACCAGGAACTTTAGGTATTTCTCATTTACGCAAACATATTTCATGGAATCTTCTGAGTTGGAAGGGACGCTTACACGCCATCTGGTCCAAATCCCATACAATGTACAGGAACACCTACAGCTCCATCAGGTGCTCAGAGCCCATCCAGCCTGACCCTGGCTGTCTCCAGGAATCCACCACATCTCTGGGAAATCTGTGCCAGTGCTTCACCACCCTTACTGTAAAAAACTTCTTCCTTACAGTCAATGTAAATCTCTTTTAGTTTGAAATTATTTCCCCTTGTCCTATCACAAAGGACCTTGTAAAGAACCTATCACCTCTGTTCTTCTAGTTCCCTTTTAAACATTGAGAGGCCACTCTCAGGTCTCCTCAGAGCCTTCTCTCCTCCAGGCTGCACAGCTCCAGCTCTCTCAAGCCTGTCCTCCTAGGAGAGGTGTTCCATCTCTTGGATCATTTTTGTGGCCATCCTCTGGAGGCACTGCAATGGTCCACAACTCTCCTGGAGAAAAGACGGCTGTGGGGTGACCTCATTGCAGCCTTTCAGTACCTAAAGGGAGCCTACAAACAGGAGGGGAATCAACTCTTTGAAAGGGTAGATAACAGCAGGACAAGGGGAAATGGATTTAAGTTGAGGGAGGGGAGATTTAGGTTGGATGTCAGGGAGAAATTCTTTACCCAGAGAGTGGTGAGGTGTTGGAACAGCTGCCCAGAGAGGCTCTGGATGCCCCATCCCTAGAGCTGTTCAAGGCCAGGTTGGATGGGGCCCTGGCAGCCTGGTCTAGTATTAAATGGGGAGGTTGGTGGCTCTGCCAGTGGCAGGGGGGTTGGAGATTCATGATCCTTGAGGTCCCTTCCAACCCTGGCTGTTCTATGATTCTGTGAAGTATGAGTGCACAGAGAGGAATTAAAAGCTTAGTAAATTCAGTGCTGTAATTTTCCTCTTTTAAGTTATCCAGTTTTCTCTTAAGACTTTATATGGGAATACATTAGTTTGCATCACTTTTTGTTATATGGTTAGGATATGACAAGGGTGACTAGAATGTCTGGATGTCCAAACAAGGCTACGAAGTGTAGCCAAATAAATATGCAGACAAGAGCATCTGGTTTGTCAATGTACTTAAAGGACAAATAAGCTCATAGAGGGGTTTATTATATATTGCTATGATATATAGATGTTATACATATTCCCTTGTTTTGCAGGATTAAGGGAAGCCAAATTTAGCTTCATGTAAATGAGGCACAAGTTAATGAGCACATATCATCTGACAGGTTTAGCTAAATGGAAGTTGCTCAGACATTTTGCTGATGGCAAGATTAAGCCCATACAAGAGTGGAACAGTAGAGATGTTTTCACTAATTTCTTCATAAAGATTTTAGAGTGTTATGTCTAGTTTAAATACTCATTTATAAGTAACTTTTTAAAGCTCAGAATTAAGGAACATCTGTACATTGGCAGAGCTTTGTAACAGTGAAAATGCATTTTGCTCTGTTCAGTAGCAGAATCTATCCTACGTAGAGTGCGTGAGAGAATAGTATGTTTTTCTTTTTTCAGATCTAGTTAAGAATTCGGAATACAATTTAAGTAATTGCTCCTTAAGCAGCTCTGAAAACCCATATGCCACTATAAAAGACCCACCGGCTCTTGTACCAAAAAGTTCAGAATGTGGATATGTTGAAATGAAGTCACCAGCACGCAGGGACTCCCCGTATGCTGAGATCGCCAGCTCTGCTTCAGCCAATAAGAACGTTTATGAAGTTGGTAAGTAGCAAATCTGCTTCCAGATTTTGAAGGTTTAAAATAGACAAGGCTCTTTTCCTTCCATCAAACTTAATGAAAACATATGAGAAAGCACACACAAAAAAATGATGGCTATCCAATTCCATTTTCTGCTCAACAGCTGTAACAGCAAACTGATAAGTGATGTAATTCACGTGACCATCATTTGAAGTATCTTCAGCTCTGTTCTATAACCTAGAGCTACCTCTGATTTTTCTTAGTTTGAAAGCCTTTTTGTAAAGAACAGCAGAACATATGCTTAGCATTTAACTGCAGTATAATTCAACTCTGGATTAGGCTGGTAAATAATGAATACAGATAGATTTAAGTGTATAGGAGGGATACAAAAGGTCTGTTTCATGTCCTCAGTAAGAAAAATAAAGCATTTTCATCCATAGAAGTGGTATTTTACTAATACGGGTCCCATGTCATTGCTGTATTACTGATGCTAAAGAAAATTTTGGAATTTTGTGAACAGTTATTATCATAATGATCTTAGGACTGGAATGATGTGTATGTCACACATTACAAGACACCGCTTACCAATATCTGCACTGTGCTGATAAGGATTTTTATAAGATCTAGATTATAATCCCTATATTTGGGTTGTTGTTTTTTTTTTTTAAGTTTGTCCACACAAAAAAATCAGATGTTGTCATAAATATACTCATAAATAGTAGGGCTCTGATGCAAGCTGGGAGGTGGTTAATGCAGAGCTAAAGAAGTTTAATATCAACTTTTGTTTCTGTACCTTCATTTCAGCATGCAGCGTGACAAGGAATCTTTACATTGAAGCAAAAAGAAGAGAGTATTTTGTAACACAACCTAAAATGAAACACAGTGCCTTCTGTTTGCCATTTCTCATGCTGTGTGTTATGTGTTCTCTTTTATCACAGAACCAACAGTGAGTGTTGTCCAAGGAGCATTCAGCAGCAATGGACGTTTCAGCCAGGATCCTTATGACCTTCCAAAAAACAGCCACATTCCGTGTCACTATGACTTGCTACCAGTTCGAGATGGCCCCACATCCTCTACAAAGGAGGTTGGCAGTGAATGACTCCAAAAGCTGAAGTGTAGCACAGGGGATTCTCAATGGGACAAGTGGCATAGTTGTGCTCCTTCCTTAGTTTACAGTCATATTTGGTTCCTAATCTGTCCAGCAGAAAATTGCCGTACATCAAAAAGGAATCTCAACATGAGGTTTATATTGTGTATAGAAGTGACACATGGACGAATGCCACACTTGGGAGACCCTGATTGTTCTTTTTTTTTGGTGGCAGTTACTTTTATAGAAACAAGTATGCAACACATCTATACTGTAATATACAGGCGTAAAAATCTTAGTTTGTAGATCAGTTTTGATAACAGATCCCACTTCAGCTACTTTAAATATAGACTTCATATTTGACATGTTTCAAATACTCCCAGGACAATGTAATTTACCAAATGCCATTTCATACAGGTTATGAGTTATGTGGAACAAAAACCGTCCTGCCAAATTTTACCTTTCATTCTGCTCTTTAGTCAAGACATACGTACTAAGAAATGAGATCAGATAAAGTAAGCACAACACTGCAGTTATTTGGGAAGTCCATCATCAGACTCTTTTGTCCCTTACTGTTGGTGGAAATACTTTATTTGAATAGCTTTCAAGATGGTAACAGCATTGCATACGTCAAAATTATATGATGCCTCAAGATCACTGGGTACTCCAGACCCAGCACCAGTCCTCAAAAAATATTTGCTACACTTCAACTCCACATGTTACTGTTCTGACCACTATTTCTACCAAACACAATTAATAATCCATAACATATCAGTAATTATTTCATAAAATATGTAAATTAAATCAGTTTATTTTTGTCAGTGGACTGAGTGTGTAAGGAGTGGAAAAAGGTGATGATTTACGTAAACCGGAACTCTCAAGGAACGGTTTACATTTTATAAACAGGTAGTAATAATTACTGTAATATAGTAGGGTAAAAGCAGTAAAATGTTGTGATTTTTTTTCTTAGAAATAACTAAGCAATCTCTGTGCATACTTGCTAAAAGGCACCTTTTTTATAGTTGATGTATGGAAAAACATGCTTAAGCTGGTCTTTTGCATCGCTAATAACGTGACACGTACCCTTATTCTTCATTAACTTCTGCCTCTATTTTTAAGCTGTATGTCTGTGTTTCTAGTGATCTAGCTTGTAATTCTGAAAGTATTCTATTGTGTGTCCATTTTTTTTTCTCTTGCATTTTTGCCAAGTGGCCTTTATTTTGTCTGGTTAAAGAATCCTCTGGGCAGAGGAAGAGCATTAAAGTAAGGATAATGTCATACTGATAATCCAGGAGGCGGTTAGCGATTACTTAATAGATTATGAATTGAATTTAATTGGAAAAATAAAATATCAAGGTGTTTTTGTTGGGGATAATTGTAAGAATGCACAAAAAAGTGAAAAATCAGACTCTCTCTTCGAAGTTTAGATTATTCTGTTGACTGTGTGGAGACCAACTTTCCAGAAGGCTCCTTTCTCTATGATCTACATAATTCATCAGATTTGCCCGTGTATCTATCCACTGAAAGAAAAGCGTTCCCTTAGCGTTTTCAGGCAGTTTAAAAATAAAATGGTTGATATGGACTAGACATTCTCTTTCATGGAAAGATACCTTCAGAAACCAAAAAATCATATTCTCAGCTATAGCAGTATTATTTCTAGCTGCTAGTATTTTCTAGCTTGCAGTGATGCCATCAGATAATGTGCTGGTCATGCTGATGGCTCACCCCTGCAGTCTCCTCCACCCCCCCTCAGTTCTAGCTGTGTAGCTTGTTGTAAGAAGTTTTCTCCATGGATTGATGCTTCCCTTGGGAAAGGATGTAGGTGGTTGCATCGTATGACATACAATGGGAAGCATAATGTCATTCTAGTCTTCTTTCTGCATTGGGGCCACATTCTGGCACGTGAGACCTGTGATGTGAACAGGAGTTGAGACATTAAGAGTGTCAATGCAAAAGAAAGTCAGGTGGATGAAAAAAATGAAACAAAACCAACTTTTGGAAATATTTTTTAAAAAGAATCCCAGATTTTAAATGGAAACACCATTTATTCTTTTACCTCACCAGTTCTTTTATTTGTTGTCACCAAAGTGTTGATAACTGAAAACTGCATTCAAGATGTTGTTATAAGTGTTTTCCAGCCTGATAAAGTATATGCCTGTTTGCAGTGCCCTCTAATATTCCTGCTTCTTACTGACTCTAAGCGCTGTTTTTCAGTTCCTTGCACACTGTTGGTCTTTGCCAGCACAAAGATTAAATGCAAGGTTTCAAAAGCCAGTCACCGTTTAATCCCTCCATATTGACTGGATTTGTGTGCATACAGGTACATGTGGCACTAGTGGTACATACGTGTGTTTGTACTGTGGGAAACATTTTAAAATAGAACCTCTCTTTGAAGCCATGATTAGAAAATGCTGTATTTGGCAACTGTGAGCTCACAAAAATTAATTTTCTTACTCTGTGTAAAATTTGGAGACCCTCAGATAAATTCCCATCATATGAAGTTATTTTTTTTTGTATGCAATAGTGAATAGCTCAATAAATGATTTTTAATATGCTTGAAAATTTTCAGTATGTCACATATCCTCAAGTGATATATCGAGCCAAACATTCATGAGATGAATTTCTGATAATAGTGCCATTGGTGTATGTTCCAAATATACACATAATCAAAAACAGCTTTCTGTGTGTGGGTATGGCATCAGCTTAAGCTGACTGAGCTGTGTTTGCAGTGACTCTAGATCAAGTAAATGACTTGTGAATTTACTTAATCAGATGATCCTCGGTAGATGCAGAAAAAAGGATAACCTGCAAGGGTAATCTAGTAAATTGCTATCTATTTAGCATTCATTTGAAAGGAAAAAAAAAACCAACAAAACACATGGAACTTATGTTAGCAGTCCTATCTCCTCTACAAGTGTTAGGGAGGCTTGCCCCAGAGTGCATGCTGCTGTCATTGTGAATGCGATTAAAAACTCAGTCCTCCTGATTGCCATGGTCCCTTTTGCTGATTCATCTGTGCTCTTTAAAGAGCCTAAATACATTTGAACACCTACACTATATTCTGGTGGGAACTTACTGAGAAAGTTGATATAATAATTTTACAAATACTGACTACAGAGAGAATTGGCTTCACCACAGATAGGAGTGGAAAGAGATGCATTATCTCTAGATGTTCACATTGTAAGAGTGAAAACTATAGCACTGAAAATGGAGGTAGCTGACCTCTACTAATATGGTTGTTGAATGAAGTGCAAAATTCTGCACAAGGGTAATAGCTGATTTTAGAAGTGTGTAGTGAGTATAAACATTAGGTTTTAAATAGTATAGGTGTGTTAATTCTAGTCACTTAGAAACATAATGAACCTCAATGGCTTTTCACTTTATCAAAGATTTTTAGTCACAGCACACTGTTACACAGAAATGTTGTCGTCATCTTTTTCTACCCAGACAATTCTCATTAGTTTTAATTGGAAATGCATATGCAGATTACAGAGGAACAAAGATTTTGTTGTACTTTCTGCTGAGACAATCTGCAAAATCAAGTTAATGTTGAAATTAAATAAAAAATTAGAAATGGGGATGTATTATTTAAAATACGTTGAATTTTCAAAGTACTGTGAATACAACTGGATATTCTAATTAGGTACTTCAAATTTTAAAATTCTTACACTGAAGCTCTAAAATCCAGACTGAAGAATACAGAGCTAATTTTGACAAAAATGCTTTATATTAAAGATTATACATATGTAGTAGTTTAAATGACTGAAAATAAATGTGTGCATGTTTATTAATTGCCGTATATAAAATCTTTCCACTTTTGGTACACTTAAACTAGTGCTAGAGCACTGAACCTAACTCTTCTATTTTCAGTTTTTTAGCCCGCAGGACTTCACTTTGAGAAGACTGAATTGTAATATATTCTTAAAGAATACCTATTGAGTATGTCTGGCTTCTTTTTCTTAGCTGTAACAAAAAAAGTGTTTTGTTGTTAAAATATATCTATTTTCCAAAGATGACTGATGTTCATCATTTTGTCCTTCACTATCATTTATTTCACTTCACATATTTGTAGGTTAACATAATAAAGTTTCTAATGAAAGATGGGAAATGGTTGATTTTTTCCTTTTCTTTTTAATTTAGGGTGACAAATTGAATGGAAAACATAATCTTATCTTTGCTGGACTATCAAGTAATGTAGTTTATTTTCCCTCTTACAAAATCTAGTCATTTTTTGCAGAATGCTTTGCAGAATGGCAAGATTTTGGATTTTAAACTGTTGAACTTTTCTAACTGTTCATACAGGAATTAATTCTGTGAATTGGGCAGTTGTTTCGAGCCTGCTTCTTGTAAAGCTTTATCCTCGAAAAAGATGCAGAACTGAAGTGCCAAAATCAAGGTGTTCTTCCTTTTCTTAGGATAATAACCATGGACTGATCATTGCAAAGACAAAACTGAAGTACAAACACGAGAGTAGCGGGAGACAACATACTGTCCTTCTGTTGTTTTTTTGTTGTTGTTACTGTTTTTAAACTTAGACTCTGTAGGATGAACCTGAAACACTGGTCACAGGTTGTGGTGGTGTGGTGTTTAACTGTAAGTTTGTTCAAGAATGAAGGATTTGACAAAAGAAAAACTGGTTCAATTAGGTTATGGCTTAAAGTAGTAGCTAGCTACCATAACACCTACTCAGAAGACCATGCCTCAGATGTGCACTTACTATATGAGTTACCCTGATTACTTTCAGGAGTCTAACTAGCAAGAGAAAGTGAATACTCTAGTTTACCAAGAGCCTTGAACACACTTGGTGAACTGCCTTAAACAAGATAGCCAACAATAAGAGAAATGCCTCAAACACATTTGCATGTGTTTTTAAAAATGACAGAATCTGATAATAGTTGTTTACTTACCTGATCAGTACCTTAAATTTCTGATCAGAATGAGTCTGGAGATGGTGACTAAGGATGCTCTGTACCTGAAAAGTGAAGACCATTTCATTGTTCTGATGGTCACTGTTACGAGTCTGTGAAACAATAAGAACGAAAGCAATTCCAATAGCATTGTAGTTAAAACCTGCTTATTCCAAAGGATTGTTGAATGGCTTCCAGTATCAAGATCTGTCATTATTCAATTTCATATTTTCAAGTTCAACTGGGTTTCTGAGAACTCCTATGTCTTTGCGTAAGAGAAGTAAAATCTTATTTTTGGCTAGCAAAATGTTTGTGTAGGGAGCTACACCCTTGAATTTAAAAATCTATCAAACTTAGGAAATTACTGCATTTCTGTAGCTGTGGGTTATTTCAAAATACATGTACAAATTGAAACTAGGTATAATTTTTAGATGGCTATTAGAAGCTAGAAAAAATACTGTGAATTTAGAAGTAACTTAAAAATATTGCTTACATAGCTGCATTTTATAAAATGTTGTGGAGGGTACATAGTCTTCAGGGAACAATTCAAGGGACATGAAGTAGTTTCTCTCAACTGCTTTACATTATACAAACACATGCATGAAGGGTATTTGGTCACTGTTTGAAGTTCTTTACTAACTACTCCCAGACAACGTACAGCACTAGCTAAAAGTATGTGTATATATTTGTCTAATTATTCAAGGGGAAAAAAAAAACTAAATAAAGATATCCATTCTACACACAAATGCATGTATAAATTCTATTTCTTCATTGATTTTTCAATGATTTTTTTTCTTGTCAGCAGTTGATTTTCTTCTTGGTGGGAAATCATTATTTTTAAATGTTCAGAACCTGAAGTCCATCTGTTGTAGCAATGAAGGCTTTGAAAATAATTCCAATCACCTAAATTATGTTGTTTCAAATGATTTGTATCTGTGAGCAGGAACCCACAAGGATCAAATTTGACCTCTGGCTTCACATCAGACCACCCAAAACCCAAACCCTGCATCTGAGAGCAGTGTCCCAACACTCCTTGAACTCCAGCACTGGGGCCGTGCCCACCGCCCTGTGCATCCCGTTCCGTGCCCACCGCCCTCTGGTGCAGCCCCTTCCCCTGACCCCCAGCTGCCCTCCCCTGACGCAGCTCCATGCCGTTCCCTCGGCCCTGTCGCTGTCACACACAGCACAGCTCAGCGCTGCCCTCTGCTCCCTGGGAGGAGCTGCAGCCGCCATGAGGGCTCCCCTCAGCTCCTCTGCCCTGTGCTGAGCAAACACAGGGACCTCAGCCGCTCCTCATACACCTTGCCCTTCAGATGCCATTCAATAGCTTCATGCCCTTCTTACATTGTAATAGATATGAAGCTTCACAATGCAGAGCAGAGGGGACAACCCTTTGCCTTGTCCAGTGGCAGCATTAAGTGCAGGTAAAGATGACATTAAATGCCCTTTTTTAAATCTACATCCCTATTTGTGAGGGAACCAGCCTCATCTAGTAATGAACTGGTTGTATCTCTGCTCCTCCTTTTGCTGTGTTAACTTCAGTTTAAACACCCTTTTTGTTGTACCCCACAGTACTGGACGTCTAATTGACCTCTAATTGTGCTTCGGCTACCTAAATTTTCTTCCTGCAGTAGGGAACAACCATTCTTGGCTAACCCTTCATAACTGAATATCCTCCAGAAGTATGAACCTATGGGGAACTGTGCGCTAACCCATGGGTACCCAAGCTTTTGGCTTGCCTGGGCCTCATGGAGTAAAGAGGAACTATCTTGGGCCACATATGTGATATATAATATTCTTACTGTATATTTAAAAAAAAATCTTTGCATACATGTAAATAAATTAGTGAAATGTTAGAGAAAAAAAGAGAGCAACAAAAGCAAACTAGTGGAATATTTAACCTTGGCCAAGAAATGCACACAGGGTCCGTATACTGAAATGTAATTATCGGTAATCACTGTATTTTACTCTGCAAGTGGCACAAACACACATAACATGCTATATGCATGTTCAACTGAATGCATGTGGTGGGTGCAAACGGTGGAGTCAGCTCTACTCTGTGCCTTGCCCTCTGCCACATGTGCAGTCAGCATTAGAGCTGCATGCAATCAACTCATGAAAAGCATTACTGAAAATCACATTGTGAGAATCCTTCTCTTTTTTTTTGGCTCAAAGCTTGCTTCCTGAGGTATTTCTTGTGATAAGACTCTGAATGATTTGTTGAGGAGGCAACTAATAGGTGCTAACCGTGTGACAATGGATATCGCTTTGGGAACATTTGAAAGCCCCTTCCCCCAGAGCTGCTTGCTCTGTAGAAGAGCGGATGAGAATGCTCAGGACTGTTTACTGGCGGAAGATCTGGCCTGTGACAAAACAGCTCCAGCTAGGTGTGGGAAAATTGGGGAACGATACCATCGTGTTCTGTGAGAAACAGGATGCAGATGGGCGTCCCTGCTCCCTCTTATCTGCTGGCAAGGCCCGGAAGATGGGAACAAAGGAGTTTTTGCTGACATCCCAGAGCCAGAAGCTGCCACTCAAAGGAGAGCTGACTCGACCACTTTGGATTTGAGCTGTCACTCCAAAGATAGCTGACTTCACCACTTTGAAACCATTGAAAAGGGGCCATCATCACCGTTGTGTTTCGTCGTCGTCGTTGGCAACAGGACAACTCTGCCTGACGACCCACCGCTACTGAAGATCAAAGACTGAACTATGAACCACGCTGGATCCATGGTGGTGACTATGCCCCTCTTACTTCCTATAAAGACTCCTTGCCTCTTCTTTCCTATCTTTTCTATTGCCCTCCTTCCCTTCCCCAGTACCCTAATTCATAATAGTGTCCGTCCTCCCCTTCCCCATTTCCCTAATTAACATTTGTAATAAACTGGTCGGACAAACATTTGAACCGTTGCTTCTTAATCTCACGCCGGGTATATAGATAATAAAAGAACCTCCTCTCCCTCCTATAAATTGGAGCGAGACACACATAACAACATTAGAAGTTTATGATCAAGTGGGGTCATGCTACTAGCTGTCCTGGCCTGAATGTAGCCCATGGGCAGCAGGATCAACACGTGTTTTAAGTATGTTTTCCTGTCGTCTGCTTTTCAGCTGGAGAGATGTCCCACCTTCTCCAAGGACATCAGGACAAAGATATGTAACCCAAATCAGTCCAGGCTGGCTGTACTTGAGTGCATCAGCTGCTGGCATGTGCCTTGGTGATGCCATGGGCATGGCACAGCAGGTACAATGTTGACAGTTGCAATTGTCACACAGGCACTGGTGACTTGAAGGTCATAGAGAGAGGGCAGAAAGAGCTGCAGTCCTGTGCCAGATGAGGCCAAGGTAAGCGGGATATTGTATCAGTTGCCGGTGCTGGCAGAATGGGCTTTAAGTAAGGGAGAGGCTGGGGTTTGCCATGGGCAGGGAAACCCATCTGGTTTTCATTCTCTCTTTGGCTTTGAGTGCCAGAGGCATCCAGGAGAACCTGTCCAGTTGATGGACCTTTCCTGTCCTCTGCTGTTCAGCTGGAGAAATGTCCCACCTTCTCCAAGGACATCAGGACAAAGATATGTAACCCAAATCAGTCCAGGCTGGCTGTACTTGAGTGCATCAGCTGCTGGCATGTGCCTTGGTGATGCCATGGGCATGGCACAGCAGGTACAATGTCGGCAGTTGCCATTGTCACACAGGCACTGGTGACTTGAAGGTCATAGAGAGAGGGCAGAAAGAGCTGCAGCCCTCTTCCAGATGAGGTCAAGGTGAGTGGGATATTGTTTCAGTTCTTGCTGCTGGCAGGAAGGATGGCGAGGAAGGGAGAGGCTGGGGTTTGCCATGGGCAGGGAAACCCATCTGGTTTTCATTCTCTCTTTGGCTTTGAGTGCCAGAGGCATACAGGAGAAGCTGTCCAGTTGATGGGACGGTAGGCTCAGCAGTACTACGTTAAAGGTCATACTTGATGACCTCAAAGGTCTTCCCCAATCTATATGGTGCCACCAAGCAATAGGCTGTCATATCACCATGCAAACTGTGATTGCATGGGCCCCACTGCTCACACTGGGGTGCTGGCAGAGCTTGGCTCAGTCTGGCTCTTTCCTGGACCCTGCTAAGCAGCTCTGCGAGGCTTGGA